TGTGTGTGTGTGTGTGTGTGTGTGTGTGTGTGTGTGTGTGTGTGTGTGTGTGTGTCCTGAGGCTTGAGCTTGGCCTGAACATTGAGTTTTTGTTTTTTTTTCAAGGCTAATGTTCTACTACTTGCACCACAGCTTTACTTTCAACTTTATTGGTAGTTAATTGTAGGTAAGAGTCTCATGGGCTTTCCTACCTGGACTGAATTCAAGCCATTATCCTTAGATCTCAGCCTCCTGAGCAGCTAGAATGAACGATGTGAGCACAGGCACCTGGCTGATGGTTTTCAACACATTTTCTTTTCTTTTTAATTTTTTTTGGGGGTCCGGTCATGGGGCTTGAACTCTGGGCCTAGGCGCTGTCCCTCAGCTCTTCAGCTCAAGGCAAGCACTCTACCACTTGAGCCACAGCACCACTTCCGGCTTTTTTCTTTTTGCTTATGTGGTGCTGAGGAATCGAATCCAGGGCCTCATGCATGCAAGGCAAGCGCTCTACCACTGAGCCACCTTCCCAGCCCCTCAACACATTTTCTACTGGTGAAGCAGCATACTCCATGATTTACGAAAGCCAATGAACTCTTCTTCCAACCAAAGGGCAATATTTTCTGTAACAGTCTTTTCTCTACTCCTAGGAACTAGAGAGTACACTCAATTTGCAAGATGAGCCACTAAAGAAGATTTTAACTTTGGCAAAATCCATCAAACAAAATACATCTTCAGTGGGACAGAAGATGATTAATGATGATCTACAGTCACTTGAACATAAACAAAAGGGTTTAGAAAACGGAATTGAATTTGCTAAGCAGGAGACTGAAAGTTGTCTCAACAGACTTCTCAGATCAGAATGTTTAACGGAAAAGCCTGAAATGTTTTCTCCATCAAGTGGAGAGTGGAAGGGCACTTCTGGTGAGCCAGGGACCACCAATGGCTCAGCAGTGGTGGAGAAGTTGGAGGAAGATTGGGATGGAAACGAGGTAGGTGCTGGTGGCTATGCTAAGACATCAAGCTTGAAAATGAGGAGGTATGCAGCTCTGAAAAGAGTCCTGAATTAAGTGTTCTGATTTCATAATTAAATCCTCCAAGTACTGGCTATTTATGAAGTTCTCTTTATAAAAGAGCCCTTGGAAAATGGTCCAGATTTGAGTGGTAAAATATTCCTATTCAGTCTGTTCAAATATCAGTCATCAAATTAGGTTTATTATTCCCACCCATATGTAATCAAGAGCACAAAAACTAATTTGAAAAGGCAAAAAGAAAAACATGCGCTTCACTTATTTCTATGGTGGGGCTGGGGACTGTAATCCAAGAACTCTTTTTATTTTGTTTTTTTCAGTTGATTTTGTAAATGAAATCAGAGTCTGATAGGAAGAAAATAGGCTCTTTTCTTTCTCTTCTAGTGTTAACTCTATGGTGCAAATGTACTTAATATTATCAGAGCATTTTGTGTGAGAATAGCATCACTCAGATTCCCAGGTCTCCTAGGGAGGAAAAGGAAGAATGATGTTTCCATCTCAGCATCCATGTGGATGCCTTTTCCTGTGTCTGAACAAGGGCTTCTTGCATAGTGCACAGCTCACAGATTGCAATGGCAAAGGCACAAAGAGAGAGCTTCCAGTAAGCTGTGTTTGAAAGGGTCACCCTGTGGAGAAGCCTTCAGAGTGCAGTGGAACAGGGAAGAAGTTAGACTCAGAACCAACTCAGATATGAGTTTTTTCTCATAGCTGGAGATACTCAGGAGAGAGCATCGCAGGAGATGCTCTCCCAACAAGGACGGAACCCTGCTGGGTCGAGTTTGTGATGTTACACAGTTCAGGGTTCAGGCGTATCTGATAAGAGGTGTGAGGGGTGTGAGGGTGTTTGAACATTCAGGGAGTTTCCAGGGTGGGTTGGGAGTTTTGCTCAAATCTCCTTGAGGTAACTGTTTCCTCTATTCTAGATACTTGGTGTATTGATGATGCCTGTAGTTAGAGTTTGACATTATCACTTGGATCTAGAGAAAGCAAGTCTGGTCAGGTTACTAAATCTAAATCTGGGTCATTGTGACATAGAAATCTGTTTTCTTTAAATAAAGGATGGGATTTTTTTTTTAATCAGGTATTCCTTTTTTTCAAGACTAATGTACATCCTTGAAGTAAATATTTTCCTTTGTAAATACTTGTGTGATCAAAGGAATTGTTTTACTAAATCCTCCCCCGCCCCCCACTAAGTATCCTTCTTTAAGATAGAAGCTGTGTTCCTAGAGTGTACTCATTATTTGGACAAGCAGGCGAGGTCAGACTGGGAGAGTGCTGCTGTTTGTTTTTGCAGCTTAGTGAGGGGGTGTGTGAGGCTCAAAGTAAAGCAAGTTCCGCCTGTGTGCTTTTCATTAAGCTGTTGATTAAACACCGTGTGTGGTTTCTTTTCCCATACCCCAATTTCTCACCAGCTTTGCATGGTTTCTGTAATTATCAGGAAAGAAGAACACTTGTGCACTGATTGTTTCCCTGGAACAGAAATGCATGGGAGACCAAAGGAACCATAATGGAATTATCTAGGTTACCTGGCCACAAGAAAAGTCACTGTAAATCCCATGGTATTAGGGATTTTTAAGTCTCAGTCTCTAAGACTCTTGAGGATGTATATGTGAAAGAAACTTTATTCACACTATTGAAAGGGGAAGCAAAAAGGAGGAATACTTGAGTGTCCTCCACTAGCTGTGAGGAGGACCCGGGCCTGACAGGTGACCTTGCTGCTGGGTCAGCTGCTTAAAAACCCCTAAATAATCACACTCCCCTCCCCCCAAATTCAACAAAGTATATTGAATACTGAATTAAAATCCTAGCTGGGAGCTGGTGGCTTACACCTGTAATCCTAGCTACTCAAGAGGCTGAGATCTGAGGATCCTAGCTTGAAGCCGGTCAGGCTAGAGGGAAAAATCCAAGCGACTCTTAGCTCCAATTAACCAGCAAACAGCCAGGTAGTGGAAGTGCAGCTCAAGTGTTAGAGCACTAGCCTTGTGAGGAAAAGGCTAAGGGACAGCACCCGGGGCCTGCAATCAAGCCCCAGTACTGGCAAAATATAAGCAAATGAAGAAATAAACACTTGGATTTCTACCCCCTTTAAATTTGAAACACTCGATGATTCTATTGACTTTCTGTCACTGTGGAAGTAGCTCCTGGGGCTGATAAGAAATGGTGTTTGAAAGTGACTGAAGGTGTTTGTTTTCCACCTTCGGTCCACTGGTTAAAGGCAGTCATTACAGATGTGCATGCATTCCTGCAGAACAGCAGTCACTGGCTCCTGGGGTATGGGACCCCAAGGGTTCTGATTTTTTTTTTTTTTTGCTGGTCCCAGGGCTTGAACTCAGGACCTGGGCTCTATCCCTGAGCCTCTCTGTGTTCAAGGCAAGCACTCTACTTGAGCCATAGCACCACTTCCAGCTTTTTCTGTTTATGTGGTACTGAAGAATCGAATCCAGGGCTTCATACATGCTAAGCAAGCACTCGATCACTAAGCCACATTCCCAGCCCAGGTTCTGAATTATTAATGTATAGCTGTCAGTAGCCAATGCTTCCCCAGGGTGTGGTCCCAAGGCCTTAGCTCATGCTGTCTTGTGCCAGCTGCTTTAGTTGAGGTGTGTAGGGAGATGGTAATCAGCAGGTGGAAAGCAGGCAGGCATCTCTTTTGGATGATGGTGGCATACGAGCCACTGACTGAATAGAGACGTGACCTCCCCCCTGCCTCCTTCCTTCTTCCTGGATCTTTCCCCTGCATGGATACCCTTCCTGTACATTTTCCTCATGAGTTCATAGGAGTGAAATTCCAAATTAAGTGACACATACTCAGTGTTGTTTAGAACCCAGAAGCTCTGGACAGCTTGAATTTACCTGCCACTGAGCATCAGTGACACTCCACATGGTGGCTTTTGATTTTCCTAAGAGCTGCAAATTTACAGAGAAATTGCAAAGATAATGCACAAGCTCCCTATATCCCTGGGCTGTGACTCTGTTCTATTGTTCTATGCTCTATTCAATTCCCTGTTCTTCTATTACTGTCATGGGCGTGGTTGGTATAAGTGCCCACAAATGCTTGGTGAAGGGAACAAGGGAATGCAGATGCCCCAGCTGTGTGTCCTATTGAGAGCCATAAGTTCTTAAGGCTTTCAGAAAATATCCATTAATCACTGCAGAACTTGTGTTGCCTTACCTATGTTGCACTTCGTACTGCTATGGATTACAGTATATTCTTATTACGGGAAATCTTGGCTTCCCTCTGTCACTTACTATAGACTACCGTGGGTAATAAGGAGCCCTTAGTGTTTTCTTTGACCTCTGTATTATAGTGGGTTCTTTTTTTTTTTTTTTTTTTTGTCAGTTGTGGGGCTTGAACTCTGGGCCTGGGCACTGTCCCTGAGCTTTTCAGCTCAATGCTAGCACTCTACCACTTGAGCCACAGTGCCACTTCCAGTTCTCTGGTAGTTTATAGGAGTCTTACAGAGTTTTCTGCCTGGGCTTTGAACTGTGATCCTCAGATCTCAGCCCACCCCACCCCCCCACCCCGAGTAGCTAGGATTACAGGAGTGAGCCACTGGTGCCTGACCATTATAGTGGATTCTTAAGTATAAATTTGGGAACCTTTGTTTTTTTCATATCTGTTTTCTTTCAGACCCACCCCCGCATGCAGATACATATATTGTAAAAGAATGTTATTTGTTTGTTAACTTTTTTTTAGATAAGGTCTTTCTGTGTAGCCCAGGCTGGCTTTAAACATGATTCTCCTGCTTCAGGCTCCCGAGTGCTGGGATTATAGGCATGTGCTACTATGCCGAGCTCAGACTTGGCATAGCATATAATGGAGCAATGCTAAATCTTGTATTATCAAAAATATTCCATTTCATGAATACCTGTATATAGATATTAACTTTCAAAAATGATTTTTGGTATTGCCCCAAATATACTTCACTTGAGTCTTTAATCTGAAGAGAATTTAGTCTAATAGAAACAACTGGAGTGTTTTCATCAAGAAAAAGAAAAATGATGCATTTGAAGAGTAGACTGTTGAGTAATTAATCTTTTTATGTTTTCAGAATTCAGCAGTGGAAATGGTTTTGTCAAAACAACTTTCCCTCGATGCTCAGGAAACCATGAACAACACTGGAGAGGAGCAAAAAGTCAATGAGCTGCAGAATCAGCCTTTAGAATTAGATGTTATGTTAAGAAGTGAACAATTAAGAGAAATAGAGGTATGGAAACATGAAAAACACTGTCAGCATGATTGCATCATTAAGCCACTGCGGTACAATATATTTTAATTACCAAAAACTTGCTTGGACAGAGTGAAAAGTCTTACTTAACCTTTGCCTGATGATCAGTTTGGTAACTATATAATTATGTACTAATCAGTAAGTTGTATGAATCTTTCCATTTAAAAAGTGGAAGAGCTTAATGACCAGTCATCGTCTTTTCTCTTTAACAAAGTTCCCCAAAACTTATTCAGTGACACAATGTGGAGTTTCTGACTTGTTCATTTTCATGGTTCCATTTGTGCTTCTGATTCTAGAAAGTTCTTTGTGTTTTTAGTAATAGTGTGATGAGGTTCTCCTTTGTTTTCACAGCTGATCGATTATTTTATCAATTTATTATTTTAATTTTATTTTTTTATTGGATTGTACAATGTACTTATGGCCTGCTAGGTTTTATAAAATGAAATTATAAACTGCCCCCATTATTTTACATGCATTTACATGACAGTAAATGTGTATCTAAAATTGGAAAGAAAGGTGACATAGGTAAAGAAGAATAAGATGATTTTTTTGAGAAATGGTAGATCTTTTTAAGAAAATAGTATCTAATTGATCTTAAATACTCAACTTGTGATGAATTTTGATCTAGATATGTATATGTTAACTTTAAACTATGGTCCTCTGAATCTCAGCCTTCTGAGTAGCTAGAATTACAGGCATGAGCCATCAGCATGGAGCAAAATTTGAGTCTAAGTTGAACAGGATCCTAGCAAAAAGAATCTTTTAGATGTCATGATTTTAATTTCCCTGTGTGGAAATTAAGAAGAATTTAAATGAAGAATTTAAAACACAGGCTTAGGATTGGTTATATTATTTGAAGGAAGGAGGAAAGGAAAGAACATGAAGGAGCAAGTGCCTGTGTATTTGCTGATTTGTATGGTTTGTTTTCAGGAACTATATACCCAGTTGGAAGCAAAAAAAGCAGCTATTGAATCCCCAGAGCAATCGGGAAATCTACATACAGCCGAAACAAGTGCTGTGATGCTCCACAATTCAAGACCTTCGGCACATGGCTTTGACAATCTGCTTCAGGCACTTACTACTCTGAAGAAAAACAAAGAAAGCCAGTATGATCTCCTTAGTGACTTTCAGGAATGCCTTGCAACAGCTGAGTCCTCACTGAAAGCCTTGTTTGCAGAAAAGGAAAGTCTGAAAGTGTAAGTGTAGGAATTTAGGACTTGCAGCCAGTCTTCGCTACCTGGGACAGGTCCTTGGTGTTCAGAATTCACAATTTGGAAGGACACTATGACCTATTATTCTATTACTATGGTCTTAATTCCTTGTAGAAGCTGTTTTAGTCTGTCTGGACTGATTTAGCAAAATACCACATACTGAGTAGCTTATAAACAACAAAAATGTCTTTTAAAAAATTTAACAGCAAATGCTGGCAGCGATGTCGGGGAAAGGACCCCATTGCACTGTTGGTGGGAATGTAAACTAGTACAACAATTCTGCACAGCAGTCTGGGGGTTCCCCAAAAATCTAAACATAGACCTTCCCTATGTACGACCCAGCCATACCACTCCTAGGCATCTACCTAAAACATCACAAGCCAGAGTACCATAAAGATACTTGCACATCAGTGTTCATTGGTGCACATATTCACAATAGCCAAGTTATGGAAACAGCCTAGAGGCCCTACAATAGAAGAGGTGGATCCAAAAAATGTAGTACAATCCAAAAAATGTAGATAATAGAATTTTACACAGGCATTAGGAAGAATGTTATGTCATTATCAAGGAAATGGAAGATCATCCATTTCGTGTGTGTGTGTGTGTGTGTGTGTGTGTGTGTGTGTGTGTGTGTGTGTGTGTGTGTGCGTGTGTGTGTGAGATGGGGCTTGAACTGGGCCTGTTCACCGTCCCTCAGCTCTTCAGTTCGAGGCTAGCACTCTACCACTTGATTCACAGTATCACTTCTGGTTTTCTGAGTGGTTTATGGGAGATGAGAGTCTCACAGACTGTCCTTGCCAGGCTGGCTCAGAACTGCAATCCTCAGATCTCAGCCTCCTGAGTAGCTAGGATTATAGTCATGAGCCACTGGCACCTGCCTATTTCCATTTCTGAGTCAAGCTCAGAGAGACAACACCTGTTTCTATGTAGAAGCTACACTGGGACAGGAAAATTATACAGGACTCCTAGATGTTTACACACAATGTTTACACAAAAGAGGATATGCTTAGGGAAGGAGCACAAAGGTGCAATACCTCCGGTGCCTCTGAACACACAGTATTTATTGAAATGAATTCTAGGAAATGGAAACAAGAGGTTTTCTTTTTTTTCTTCTCTTCAAAAAACATTTAGGCCTGGGAAGGGGGCTCAGTGGTAGAGTACTTGCCTTGCATGCATGAGGCCCTGAGTTCTATTCCTTAGCACCATATAAGCAGAAAAAGCCAGAAGTGGTGCTGTGACTCAAGTGGTAGAGTGCTCGCCTTGAGCTGAAGAGCTGAGGGACAGTGCCCAGGCCCAGAGTTCAGGCCTCAAGACCAACCCTCAAAAAAAAAAAAAAATTAAAGCCGGGGTCTGATGGCTCACACCTGTAATCCTAACTACTCTGGAGTCTGAGACCTAAGGTAGCCAGCTGGAGCAGGAAAGTCCATGAGATTCTTATCTCCAATTAATAACAGAAAAGGGTGGAAGTGGTGCTGTGGCTCAAGTGGTAGAATGTTAGCTTTGAGCAAAAGGAGGTCAGGGACAGTGTGCAGGCCCAGAGTTCAAGCCCCGTGACTGACCAAAAAAAAAAAAATTAAGGAAAATAATAACAGTGAGGTTTGAATGGGCAGGCTCTCTCTTTGTATTTTTTGGTGCCATTACTGGGGCTCAGAGTCTCAATTGGCTTGCTTGCTCGCAGCTGGTGCTCTACCAATTGAGACACTGCTCCTCTTCTAGCATTTTCCTGGTTAGTTGGAGATAAATCTCTCAGATTTGCCTGCCCAGGCTGGCATCAAACCACGATCCTCATATCTCAGCCTCCTGAAGTAGCTAGGATTACAGGTACAAGCTACTGGCGGCCCCTGGCTAACAAGCACTGTTTTGTTTCTTTCTCTAGGGGACCACTGGATAATGCAACCTATGTGGACAAACTGCAGAAATTTCTGGGATCAGTAGAAAAAGAAAAAGGATATGTAAGCGAGCTTCAACTCAAATGGGAGAGTTTAGCAAAGCATCTGTGCAGTATGGACAAGAAGCTGTTGGAGAGCCAGCTGAAGCAACTTGAATATGGGTGGCAGCAAGTGGAAGAGCAGGTTGGAAGGAAATGCTCCCAGCAAGTTTTGGAACACGATGCATTTAGCTCTCTCATGAGCAAGGTCCGTGACCTTGGCATTTCTCTACAGCAACAGCAGCAGAGTTTGCTGTTAAAGCTGAAGGCCCCAGACGAACAAGCAGGGAGCCCAAGCATCGTGGCCATGGCTGCTGACCTCCAGGCAAGCAAACAAGAATTTTCTGTGTTAAAGGGGCAAGCCGAGCTTCAGATGAAGAGAATCTGGGGAGAGAAAGAAAAGACGATTTTGGAAGATGCAGTCAATAATTTGAAGAAGCAATTGGAAGTCCTGGAGCCATTACACATCGAGGTGGAAAAGCAGATTAAGAAGTGTAACCTCAGGAGCAAGATGAAAGAAATCCTCTTGTGGGTGAAGACTCTGTTGGGTGAACTTGCCACCCCTATTTCCCTTCTCCCAGATGACATCCTCTCCCAGATCCGAAAATGCAAGGTGACGCATGATGGCATTTTGGATAAGCAGCAGGCCTTGGACTCATTGGTAGAAGAGGTGAAGGAGACCATCCCTAGCTTGCCAGTCTCTGAGAGTGATCACCTCAATAATCTCCTGGAGGAATTACAGAACCAATACCAGGTGCTGGTTTTAAAATCTACTCAAAGATCACAGCAACTAGAATTTGAGTTGGAAGAAAGAAACAAATTGTTTGAAGTTCTAGGGAAGGCTCAACATAGCCTTCAAGAAAATGAAGCACTGATAATTTCCAAGATAGGGGCCACCTCCTCCGAGGGTGAACTGGCCCATCAGCTGGTCATGCTGAAGGCATCTCAGAAGGAATTGCAAGAGATCGAGAGCTTGAGCTCTACCCATTTTCATGAATTCACAGATGCTGCCTATAAAGATCTAAATGTGTTTGAGAGATTGTTTCTGGATGATCAGTTGAAAAGCCTGAACAATAGAACTGACAGGGCACAAAGATTCATTCAGAATAAATGTAATGAAGTAGAACACAAGCTCAATGCTTGCAGAGAATTCCAGGCAGAAATATGTGCACTTCAGGAAGCCATTGACAGCTTGCAGATCAATGAGCTGACACTTAACCAAGAAACACATGAAGATGTTAAGGAGCAGTTCATGAGTCTAAAGCACAGACTTGCTGGGATTCGCTGTAGCATATCACAAGTGTTGGCACATCAAGAAGCATTTGACTATTTAGGGCTAGATGGGGAGGGATTGCACATCGGACAGTTACAAACCCAAGTGTCAGAAAAGGAAAAGGAACTTGAAGAAAAAATGAAGCTGTTGGACACATTTGTAACAGAGCACAGCAAGTATCAGGCATTGCTCAGTAAAATAAGGGCTGTGGATCTGCAAATCAAGGAGAAGGCTGAGTTAGTATTGAAAACTAGTACTTCATCAGAAAGCAGTCTGCTTGATGCGCAAATTCTGAATCAGAAGATTGAGAAAGCTAAGGAGCTATATGATGAGATAATAAAGAAATTAAGCGAAAGTGAGGTTTTTGATGACTCTTTCAAAGAGAAAGAAATACTACACCTAAAGCTGAAGGCCAAAGAAAATGATAAGTTACATGAGGATCTCCAAAACACACTACGAGAATTCCAACCCAAAGAAATGGATGGAAAGAATGTTCAGGAAGAACTGGAGCATTCCTTACATGTTTTAAATCAGCTAAAATCTCAGGTACAGCAGCCTTTACTTCTGCGTTTGGGAATTAAACATATTGAAAATGAGAAGGAGCACTGGGAAGCATTTCAAGCTCAAGTTCAAGCAGAAATGTTTCATATTAAACCTATGACTACTATTGGGAATGGAGGAGTTGAAGAAAACTCTGGTGAACCTGAGGATGTGGAGACAAAATTACATGCCATCCAAGATCTTCAAATGCAACTTTGCAAGAACATTGACTTACACAAAGTAAGTTTGTTTGTTTTTTACTTTTAATTAGGCATTTCATGCAACTGTTTTTAGTTCATTATTTGTTTTTTACTCTAATTAATATCCATACTAATGAAGAAGTTACAGGTTCCATGGGAGAATTCTTTACAGGGAGATACCTGTTTCCCAAAATTCAGTAAGCCACTTGGCGCCACAGTGGCTCACATCTGTAATCCTCACTACTCAGGAAGTTGAGATCTGAGGGTCATGGTTCTAAGTCAGCCCAGGAAGGAAAGTCAGTGAGATTTTATTTATTTATTTATTTTGTCGGTTGTGGGGCTTGAACTCTGGGCCTGGGCGCTGTCCCTCAGCTCTTCAGCTCAAGGAAAATGCTCTACCACTTGAGCCACAGCTCTATGTCCGGTTTTCTGGTAGTTTATTAGAAATAGGAGTCTCATGGACTTTACTGCCGGGGCAGGCTTTATACCGTGATCCTCAGATCTCAGCCTCCTGAATAGCTAGGATTACAGGCATGAGCCACCAGCACCCGGCTGTGAGATTCTTATCTCCAATAAAATTAATTAAAAAAAAACCTGAAAGTGGAGCTGTTGTTCAAGTGATAGAGAGCTAACCTTGAGCAAAAAGAAGCTCAGGGACAGCACCTAAACCCTGAGTTCAAGCCCCAGGACTGGCAAAAACAAAAGGAAACAAAATCCAACACACACTTGATAATCCTATATCAAAAGATAAAAGAGTCTTAGAGACTTTTCTGCCCAGGCTGGTTTGGAAACACAATTCTCAGATCTCAGTCTCCCAAGTAGCTAGGAATAGAGTTGTGAGCCACAGTGCCTAGCTCAGTAGAGTTTTAAATAATGATCATAGCACACCAGTTCTGAAGAGCAACTGCTACACACTCTCCCCTTTCCTCCTGATAATAGCCCAGGTACCATACTTTGCATCATACCTTTATAAATGGGCTTCACTTCTCTAACTCAAACAGTTATTACCAATGTATTTGAAATCACTCAATGGATGTAAATGCTTCAAAAATGTAAAGTCATAAAAAGAATCTGAACGCTGTTTAATGTGACTCCTAAAAAATCTTGAGTAATTTGAATACCTCTTTTGATTTTAAGAGTTTCAAAGAAACAATTTGCATAAATTTTCACATCTGATTACAATTGGACTGGTCGGGAACTTTATGGTTATCTGTTTGGTTTTGTTTGTTTTGGTCAGTCGTGGGGCTTAAACTCAGGGCTTAGGCACTGTCTCTGAGCTCTTTTTTTTGTTGTTGTTGGTCGTGGGGCTTGAACTCTGGGCCTGGGCACTGTCCCTCAGCTCTTCAGCTCAAGGGGAGCGCTCCACTGCTTGAGCCACAGTGCCACTTCCAGTTTGCTAGTGGTTTATTGGAGATAAGAGTCTCACAGACTTTGCTGCCAGGGCTGGCTTTGAACGTCCATCCTCAGATCTCAGCCTCCTGAGTAGCTAGGATTACAGGCACCAGCCACTGGCACCCAGCTTGAGCTCTTTTTCTTAAGGCTAGCATTCTACCACTTTGAGCCACAGCTCCACTGCCAGGTTATGCTTTAGTAAGAAAAAATACTTGTTCTTTTAATGACAAGCTTGAAGAGTAGGGACATTTAATGAGGTATACCTAAAGTTAGTGACAGAGGCATTAAAAAAATAATGGATCAGGATTTCGATTTTGGGTCTGTTCTTTCATTTGCTCATACCTATTAAGATTAGGTACTTAGCTAGGCATAGTGATGCACATTTGTAATCCAGACACTCAGGAGGCTAAGAAAAGAGGATTGTCTGGGCAGGCTTGGTTATACAGGGAGACTATCTCAAACCACTCTAATCCCCACTGGTACAAAAAAAGAACCTCTCTCTCTCTCTCTCTCTCAAACATACATATGTTATATAATCTTTAATGCACAATTTAATCATTCTGCATGTAATTATTAAACATGTTTCATTTTTTAAGTTTTTGTATTATCTTTAAGTAGTTACAACAAAGGTATTACCATTCAACACATGAACGTACCAGTTTAGGAATACAATGCATCTTGATCACCATTGTTTTCATTAATTCATAGTTTAGTATAAGAATTGTAGAGCAGAAAGACATTGATAATCTATGACTTATGGGATGTCATTTTCAATTTAAATTTGACTTCTTAGAAAATACAGACATAACTTTTCTTTATAAAAACAAAATCTAACTGAGCTGGACACTGGTGACTCATGCCTGTAATCCTAGATACTCAGGAGCTGAGATCTGAAGATTAGAGTTCAAAGGCAGCCTGCGCAGGAAATTCTGTGAGACTCTTATTTCCAATAAACTACCAAAAAAAACCCCTGAAGTGGAGCTTTGGCTCAAGCAGTAGAACACTAGCCTTGAACATAAAAGCTCAAAAACAGTGCCCCAGAACAGGCACAAAAACAAAAGAAAATCAAAATGTTTCTCATTTTAAAATAGTAGCATAGTATTGTTAGACTGAAAGTACAAAAGCCAATTCTTCTAAGTCTCAGAGATTCTATGAATACATGATCAAAATTCAAGAATGACAAAAATCCTGAAGTTTGACAATTTTGTTGTAACATATGATCTCCTGTTTACCAGCATGTCTTGGATGTTGCACATGAGAACACAGAACGCTACAATGAAGCAGTCACCAGTGCCCTAGAGACCATCGCCTCCCTTCATTCCATCATCACAGCTCCAAGAGTAGACCTCTATGACCTGGAGGCCTTGCTGGAGCTGCTTCACAGGAAACAAAAGGAGTTGGAATCCACAGTTGCGCATGTCCAAGTCCTCGCTGAGAAACTGGGGACTGTATCCAGCCCAGAGGCCAAACTGCAGCTCCAGGAAGCTATACAAGAGCTAGTTTCAAAGAGCTCGGCCTTGAAGGTGGCAGGTGAAATGCAGGAAGCTGAAATGGAAAGGTAGGTCGTATTTCTAAAGAACTGTTCATGTTTATTATGCTTTAAGATCAGACGCTCTAGGGATTTCTCTGTTGTTAGCAGATAATTTGGACAATATGTAAAAATCACTGAAAAAAAGTAAAAATCACTGAAAAAAGCATGCTAAATATTGCATTGTGTTAAAATTTATTTAATACTGGGTACTTACAATTTAATACTTATAGAAGTATGTATATAGTATAAATGATAATAAAACAAACATCTTTGTACTCAAAGTTTCAAAGATAAACCCAGTTTTGTATGTGTGTGAGTACCAGTACTGGGACTTTAACTCAGGACCTGAGCACTGTCTCTTAGCTGTTTTACTTAAGCCTGGTGCTCTATCACTTGAGCAACAGCTCCACTTCCAACTTTTTGCTGGTTAATTTGAGATGATTATCTCATGAACTTTTCTGCCCAGGCTGGCTTCAAAACTGATTCTCAAGTCTCAGCCTCCCTCTAGTAGCTAGGATTATAGGCACGATCTACTAGTGCCTTGCTTGATTCATTTAAATTCTCTTATGTCCTTCTTCTCTTTTGACTCAGAATAACCACTATGCTAAATCTTACATTTATCGTTTTTTGGCCTTTTTTTTTTTTGGTGCCAGTCCGGAGGCTTGAACTCAGGGTCCTGGTGCTGCCCCTGAGCTTTTTTTGCTCAAATATTAGTGCTTTGTCACTTGAACCATAGCTTCACTTTTAACCATTGGCAACCAGTTTCATTGTACTTTTTTTAATGTGTTTTTATGTCTTGTTTTCATGATCTTTTTTTCTTTTTAAAACTTGGTCTTATTATGTTGCTAAGGCTGACCTTGAATTCATGATCCTCCTACCTCAGCCTCCTAGTGTTGGGATTATAGACATATACTACCATACCCAGTAGTTTTCACAATTTGTAGTTGACCCATACGTAGTGCATGCATTTTAAAACTTCCATTTTTTGAAGTCATCATTATGACTCTGAAGTTTCTTCATCTTGTCTGTAGTAAAATTCATGCACCTCACTATTGATGGACGTTTGTATTATAAACTGCTCCTAGGAGCATTTTTACATGGAAGACCTTCCCTTGAGTATATAAGAGTGTAACTTCCCAGGTCCAGAGGTTTGCAAATCTTAAATTTTTAGTGCCAAACAATTTTATCAGTTTCCACTTTTACTAGCCCCTTGCAAGTGTTTGAGTTGTTTCACATCTTTGTCTATACTGGATATGGAGGGAGAAGTAGTTTCAGTTCGCATCTTGTTGCTGCTGCTGAGTTTGATCCTTTGTAAGATCCTTTGTAAGATGTTCATTGGTCATTCATATTTCCTTTTCTGTGAAATACCTCTTCAAGCCTTTTCCTTATTGTTTCTTAGGAATTTATTTTATATTTTAAGGACCAGTCCTTTGTAGTTATGTGCATCGTAAATCCATGTATATATCTCATTAGTAATACTTAAACGTGCAGTTTGCTTTAGTAAAGAGACTTCATTAAAAAAAAAAAAGGAAAGGAAAACCCTTCTAATTCTGTGTTTTGAGGTCCATTCTGTCTGCCTGTTCAAATTCACACTGGAAGCCATTCACAGTTCTCTTTGGAGATAGTCCACAACAATGTAGAAATGCTTTACAGAGGGGGAAAAGAAATAATAAAAAGAAAGTGAATCATAACCTTTTGAAAGAGTTAAATGAAGGAGAATTGATTCTGGAAAGTTCAGCATTTATTGGTGTCCCACAAAATTCTACTAATTGCCTCATCAGGTGTCTGGAGAATTACAGATGCTACCAAAAAATGAAGGAGGAGCTGCACATTAACCTCAGGAAGGCGGAGACCACTCTGGGGCAGTCCGTGGCCCTGTTGCCCGGCTCTTACAAGGAAGCCTTAGCTCTTTTGGAACAGAGCAAGGTAACGGTAACTGTGACTGTCAGTCTGTACAACAGGCAAGTAGAGGCAGCAGAGGAGGTGGGAAGTCTTTAAACACCCAGGAAAGTCACTTAGTCCACACAGGGGTTTGATGGGAGGGTGGGTGGCAAAGCCACAGCTCTGGATTCACAACTCCACACTCCCCTAACAGCATCTTGTAGCTTGTCTAAGCCTTTCCTTCCCCAGCATTTGCAGGGACAATGGCGGTGTCCACAGCTCTGAATTTCTTTCCACCCTTTTTTTTTTTTTTTTTCCAGTCGTGGGGCTTGAACTCTGGGCCTGGGTGCTCTCAGCTTTTCAGCTCAAGGCGAGCATTCTACCACTTGAGCCACAGTACCACTTCCAGTTTTCTGGTGGCTTATTGGAGATGAGTCTCACGGAGTTTCCTGCCTGGGCTGGCTTTGAACCATGATCCTCAGATCTCAACTTCCTGAGTAGCTAGGATTACAGGCGTGAGCCACCAGCACTCAGCTTTTCCATCCCTTCTTGTACCCTGTTAGCAAGCAATTTTATTTATTTTTGCAGTGTTGGAGTTTGAACCGAGGGCCTCACACATGATAGGCAAGCACCCTGTCACTAACTACATCCCTAGCCCACCTACCAATTTGAGTTTTGTTTCCTTCTTTTATTTGAATCTGTGGGACCATAGTATTGCAATAAAATAATATAAATAAAATTCATAATAAATATTAAATTATATTTATCCTGGTTTTTTACTTATAGATTTATTCTTTGAGACAGAGTTTCTCATGTAGCTAATGCTAGCCTCAAACTTGTGATCCTTTTGTCTTAGCTGCCCAAGTACTTGGATTACAGGCATGCATCATCATACCTGGCATGTTATTAGGGTTTAGATAAGACATTCAAAATCAAATGTACTTACTATCCACAAGAAATTAAAATAGGAGCTAAGCAAACAAAACAATCCTAAATGTTGTATTGGTAGTTGATATAGTTGATATTGTACAGATGAACTACCCAGTAAAATGTCACAAAATGTACTTGAAGAATATTTACATTTGATAATATAGTCTTATTAGAAAATTTAGTTTCTGGGTCAGTATTTGTCCCTTCAGTCCCAAATACATGAAGAATTTAATGCATAGATAATTCTCATCTGGCTCAAATTGACTTACAAATGGATGAGGAATGGATCATGGAATACTTGTAGAGGATGAAAATCATTTAATGTCTCAAATTTAATATATTTTTAAAGTTCCAGAATAAATCAGAGACACTCTTACTATTTTAATTTTTTTCCCCAGTTCTGGGGCTTGAACTCAGGGCTTGAATGCTGTCTCTTAGCTTTTCTACTCAAGGCTGGCACTCTACTACTTGAGCCACAGCTCCCCACTTTTTGGTGGTTAATTGGAGATAAGAATCTCACAGAACTTCCTGCCCTGATTGACTTAGAACCACAGTTCACAGATCTCAGCCTCCTGAGCAGCTGGGATTATGGGCCAGATCAGAGACGTTATATTCTTTTCTCCCTTTCTTTCCTTTCTTCCTTTCTTTCTTAAGGCCTTGGTGTCAAGTCTCATTGGAACCAAAGAAGAGCTGGTGAAACTTCGGCAGGTGGTCAGACAATTGGGGTGCAGGTGCACGGAAAGCAGTGCTGTGCGAGTACTCGGAGGAGCATCAGCTCTGTGGGACGATTGGCTGAGTTTGCTGGAAGCTGCCAGGGCATGGGAGAGGTGGAGTGAAGAACTGAAGCAGGAGTGGAAATTCATCAGTAAGGAAGTGAGTACTTCATTATCCTCACTCAAACCCTGTTGTTGGGGGCTGGGAAGGTGGGTCAGTGGTAGAGCGCTTGCCTTGCATGCCTGAGGCCCTGGGTTCAATTCCTCAGAACCACATAAGCAAAAGAAAAAAGTCGGAAGTGGCGCTGTGGCTCAAGTGGTAGAGCACTAGCCTTGAGCTGAAGAGCTAAGGAACAGTGCCCAGGCCCAGAGTTCAGGCCCCACAACCGGACCCCCCCCCAAAAAAAACAACTCATTATTGCTATTTTCATAGGTAAACAAAGACAGCTGGATCAATGTTTCCAAGACAATCAAATATGTTTAATATTCATAGGTATGCATGTATGGAATTTACTCCATCCATCTGAGTAGACTAACCAACCAGAAGATTCTGGGTGATAAAGCTCTAACCCTGATGTGTGCTCCTTTGGGAGACCAGGGAGACCTTTCTTAAGTTCTACGTCAGACTCACCTGTGTTCACAGCCCTAGCTGTGTGACCTTGGGCCAGAGTCTCAGCTTCTCTAGTGTTAGCCTAGCCCAAGCTCCCACACTTCCTGCTTCTGCAACTGCAGATGTAGGAACAGCATCATTTTTCCTCAAAGTTGCATGCTAGGGACCACGTGTGAAAAAATACCAGGCCTAGAGAGTTGTTCAATACTTGCTCATTTCTTTCCTGAACTGCCTTCTACCAGCCATTTGGTCTCAGTTTATGGAGCTTTAAATTTAGAGTAACATCTGCTTAACAAATGCATTGTTTCTTTATGTCAAAAGAATTACATAATACATTCTAAGCCAAAGCTAAATCACTTAAGTCTTAAAACAGTATTCAGTTTCTTTTATAATAGTGCTTTGGAGAGTAGGTGTCAGATAGGTGATGACTTTCGGATTTGAGCCTTAAAATCTTTATTGTGATGATAACCCCTCTTAAAAATAACTGTCTCATGTATGTATTACCCTCAAGATTAGAACTAAGTAATGGACATAATAACCAACTAATTTTGAAGTTAACTATATTTGTTAGCTATGAGAATTAGCTATAATTGTTAAGTATGAACTTAAAAGGATAAGATGCAGTGTTCTTTCTGAAAACTGCCTGGGCAATGTCCAGCACTTGATTCATGGCTTAGGACTTAGGCATCGCATATATTCAGAAAGAAAATGGGAAATCATGTGAAATTATCTTACTCTCTGATCTTTCCAGAGGGCCAGGTATATATGAGCTACACATCACAACTTTAAATGAAAACTTGTCTCCTATTGGTTTCAAAGTTTCTGCTGAGTTTACCTTAGATGGAAATGTAATGCATCATTACTTAATTGGAGAGAGAGCACACATTCTTTGGGACTGAGATGCTTCGAACTTGATATTCCTAAAAATGAGTCAAGGGTGCTAGTGGAGCTTGAACAGTGAATAATCTCTTGAATCTCCAAATCTCAAGGAATTTTGTAAATTATACTTTATGTGGGGCTGCGAATACCACTTTCTCTCCTGTCCATAATGGTACCACTTACTGAGCCCCTGCACTGTGGTAAACAAGTTCACACATGATCTCATTGACTCCTTGCCTTGGACTTACTAAGTAAATATAATTACTGTTTGGCAGATGGAAAAATGATCATTGAGTGATTTTTTTAAAACTAATGCCACAAAAGTCTCACTTAGAGACTGAACAGTAAGCTTCTGGGACCGAGACTGTCTTGTTTGTAGTAAATGTTTATGAAGGACAATTATTCAAATGCAAATCCAGGTTCTAAGTTATTATTCTTTTTATCTTATCACAATATTGCTGTATCACTATTGGCAATCGTTATCTTATTAATTCTGACCCCATTCGTTTAAAACATTCAAACAAACATTTGACAAAAATTGGCTAACACACAAAAAAATGGGGGCTGTAGTCTCTGGTTTCTCTTCACTAAGCAGAATGCATTTGGGATTCTTTTCTTTTCCTCTGCTCATATCAGTACTTCTTATCTTTTTTTAGTGGTAGTTAAAGCATTAAACAACTTGATCTTGGCCTTAGAAGACAATCTCTGGCATTCCTCATATCGTCGGGTCTTTGGGAATATAATGCCCTGGCTCCTGAATTTTCATAGGATTTTGCTTTCTCACCCTCTGTCACATCTAATTGGACTTCCAGGGTCTTGCTCATCATTTCAGTCAGTATCGTAAGTTTAGACACTTGGAGAGGTACTCGGTTATGTCCACATGGCCAGGTGCCTGACAGTCTCAATGTACAGTAGAAAACAGGGGATGCGGATGACTAAACTGAGTTGAGGGGAGCTTCAAAGGATTTGAAGATGGGCAGAAGAATTACCTGATTGAGAGATTTTTTTCTGTCTCTACTCTGAGTTTAAGGCTGATAAACTCTGTGTGTGCATGCATATGAACACACATACGTTCATGTACCAGTACTGGGACTTGAACCCAGGGCCTTGCACTCTCACTTAGCATTTTTCTCTCAAGGCTGGTACTCTCCTACTTGAGCCATACTTCTACTTCCTGTTTTAAGCTAGTTAATTGGAGGAGTCTCTCAGGTTTGAATTTCTCTGCCTCGCCTGTCTTCTAACCCAGATCCTCAGACCTCAGCCTCCTGATTAGCTAGGATTACAGACATGAGCTGCTAGCACCTGGTCAGGATGGTAGAATTTTCTTTTTCTTCTTTGTCGGTCACAGGACTTGAACTTGGGGCCTGGGTGCTGCCCCTGATCTCTTTTTGAGCCACAGCGCCATTCCTGGTTTTCTGGTAGTTAACTGGAGATGAGTCTCGTGGACTTTGTTGCCAGGCTGGCTTCGAACTGCAATCCTCAGGTCTCAGCCTCCTGAGTAGCGAGGATTACAGGTGTGAGCCACCAGTGCCCAGCAGACTGGTAGAATTCCTAATGTCTAGATCTGTGTTGTATTAAATTCTATATATTTCTGGGTTCTGCAGTGGTTGATAACAGTGGTTGATGCCTATGCAGTTGGTACACTCATTCAGCTACTTTCCCTTTGGTAGGTTTCAGGTTGGTAAGGATGTCCCTGGCTTAGTTTCAGAGCAAGCAGGGATTGGAATTGAAGGGAAAGAAACCTGTAGAAAACTTTCTGTAACCAGGAGTGGCCACCCCCATCTCTAATACTAGAAGCAGTTTGGGAGCACTCGTTCTAACTACCTCATGTGTATGTCCTATGAACGCTGCTTTCTCCAACAGAAATCCAGAGGGGAGAATAAATCATGGTGAATAATCCAATAGCCTTTTCCTCAGACCATGACAGCACACCTCAATTTAATCACATGTCACTGGGAGGGGCTGTGGGATTCTAATGATGGTGGCTAATATTCTCAGCTGCAGGAGAACACACTAGTGTCTGGCATTTGAAACCTTTAAAGTGTGAGCAAACATAAAAATTATGGCTGCCAACAGATAAGTTTCAGGTTCTAAATGATAAGCATGTATTTCACTCATTTTGGTTCTCTCTCCCTCTTCCACTTCTCTCTCACACTCCTACTCTGGCTCCCTCTCCGGCCCTCCTTCATTTATTTATTGAACTAGATTGAACGAGAAGCAATTATTTTAGACAATCTTTCAGAAGAATTCCCAGAAATTTCCAGAATAAAAGAGGCAGTCACCACTGAGGAGCTTTCTGAGCTGCTGCATTCTCTGTGTCAGTACGAAGAGAGCGTGGAGAAGCAGCAACTATTACTGAGCCTACTTCTTCAGCGCATAAAGAATATCCAGAATGTTCCAGAAGGCCCAGAGGCCGTGGAAACTACCCCAGCCCTTCAAGAGATTTTGTCTATGCAAGAACGGTGTGACAGGTAAGATTTATGAAGAAGTATTGAGATTGTATTTGACAGTTTCCACTCACAATTTAGAAATTACCAGATTTACTAAAAGAAAATTTAGAGCCAGGCACTTGTGGCTCCTAGCTACTCAGGAGGCTGAGATCTGAGGACTGCAGTTTGAAGCCAGACCAGATAGGAAAGTCTGTGAGACTCTTATCTCCAATTAACCATTAAAAAGCCAGAAGTAGAACTGTGGCTTGAGTGCTAGCCTTGAGCACAAAAGAGCTCAGGGACAGTGCCCAGACCCTGAGTTCAGGCCTCAGGACTAGCACACACACAAAAAGCTTAGAATAATAACAATACTACAGAATTGAGTAAAAAACAAAAAAAGAAGCCAGGCGCTGGTGGCTCACGCATGTAATCCTAGCTACTCAAGAGGCTGAGATCTGAGGATCCCAGTTCAAAGCCAGCCCAAGCAGGAAAGTCCATGAGACTCTTATCTGCACTAAACCACTAGAAAACCAGAAGTAGTGCTGTGGCTCAAGTGGTAGAGCACTTGCCTTGAGCTGAAGAGTGCAGGGACAGTACCCAGACCCAGAGTTCAAGCCCCATGACTGACAAAAAAAAAAGCTAGAAAAATTAATAATTATAAATAAAACAAGTATACATTTTTCATCTTGGTATTCCTAAGTGTCATTTCTTTTTGTTTCAGATATTAACGCCTATTTATTTTAGGACTGCTTGTAATTATAGGAAATTTTTAAAAATGGGGAAAAGTATAAAGTTAATATAAAAATCTACTTTGAATCTCCATTTAACAATCATTGATATGCTTTTCTCATATTTTACTACAATTTTAACTAAATTGGGATTATAGTAGACTGCTTTTTGTGATATGAACACTTGATCAGAATATATTGTCTTTTTCCTATGCCATTATATATTAATTTAACAATATCTCTATAGGACTGAAAATGGGCTCAGTGGTACTGCTTGCCTAGCATGCATGAAGCTCCAGGTTCTGTTCCTCAGTACCACATAAACAGAAAAGGCTGGAGGTGATACTGTTGCTCAAGTGGTAGAGTACTAGCCTTGAGCAAAAGAAGCTCAGGGACAGTGAGTGCCCAGGCCCTGAGTTCAAGCCCCAGGACTGGAAAAACAAAATCTCTATAGTATTCTGTCATATGTGGCTTATGTCTATAAATCCTAGCTACTCAGGTTGAGGCCTAAGAATTCTGTTTCAAAACTAGTCGATGCAGAAAAGTCTGAACTGTGAGGCTCTTTATCTCCAATTAACCAGCAAAAAGCCAAAGGTGGAGGTATGATTCAAGTGGTAGAGCTCCAGCTTTGAGAGAAAAGGGCAATTGAGAGCATAAGAGCCTGAGTGCAAGCCCTTGTACTAGTAAAAGTAAAAAAAACCTTTATGTGTAATTATGTTCTGTTTATGAGATTTATTCTTATGTCCAATCTCTTATTTCCATATGTGATGAAGTGATTGAGAAAGACAATAAGAAGTAGAAAGGTTGAGTCAATAGACTTAATAGTTCTATGGCTAGAAATGCTCTGAAGAAAAAACTAGGTTTTTTTCTAGCACATTGACTAAACTCGCTGATTTCACAGAGTAGAGGTCAAGTAGTTCTCCAGCTGGAATTTTGGTAGTTCATTTCTGATACCATCAGGAGATAGCTTAACTTCTACATTTTGAGGGCTTAGTCCCACAGGCCACCCTCAGTCCCAGGTTGCAAATTGTTACCTATATTTCACAACAAATGGCTGCTGGGTTCAGTTAATTTGCAAGAGTGGCTCACAGAAACACATACACTGGCTTATTAATAAAAGATACAATAAGGGAAAAAAAGATACAATAAGAGGCTAGAGGCATGGTTCAAGTGGTAGAATGCCAGTCTAGTCACCTGGCTGTCTCCCTTGGCAACCAGTCCTCATTCTGATGCTTTTGAGGAGCCTACTATGAGCCACTTTGTTAGAACAGATGATCTTATCATTCAGGAAATGACAAAGGTCCATAGAGTTCTATGTCAGGAACCAGGGCAGCAGAATAACATTAAAGCAATTCTCCTTGCACCCATTCCTATATGAGCCTTAGGAGTTCTGGCTCAGCCACCAGGGCAGAGACTCTGTGTGTGTATGTCTCTGTGTGTGTACACATACATAGGGTGTGTGTGTGTACACATACATAGGGTGTGTGTGTGTGTGTGTTATAAGAAATATACATATATACGCATTTCTTATTATATTACATCACAGACAGCAAATAGTTCTTGGAAAGATTTTTATACACCTTTCCCATTACCACTGTTTGATATGTTATATCCATAACAAATGGGGTCAGTGGCAGAGAAAAAAGCTAGAGCCTCCCATTGACTCCAAGCACACCTCTTCCATTTGAGATCAAGGACTACATGGAACAAACTAGAGGACAGAGATGATGATTCAAATGTCAAGTGTGAAAGAGGGGGTTTAGGATTTAAATTTGGAGAAGTGTTTGATGGAATTATAGGAACTGCTGATTGAATATGTCATATGTAAAATCATGAAAAAGTAATATTTTTCTCTCAGGGGAAAATCATCTTTTTGTGAGCTCTGTAGACCTTTTGATAATTGTGCAAATGAGAGTATTCACAGGGGAGCAAGACAATTTATTATTATTATTTATTATTATTATGTAGTTGTACTCAGGGATTTCAATTCCCTAAGTCAGGTTATGAGTGCAACACTTCTGAACACTGTCCCCCCTTGCTTCATTCTCCCAAGACAATTATATTTTGATGCTGTATTTTAGACTTTTACAGAAAGTTCTACAAAACAAGGAAATGGTACAGACTGAAATCCAAGAAAGACAGTCCTTCGCAAGGGAAATAATTGCTTTGAAGAGTTTATTTCAACAGACTACAGCTTCTTTCCAAAACATGGCACCCGTAGACCATCCAGAAAGGCCAGAACAAGTAGAGGTGAGTGAGGACAGAATGCGTGAATGTGGCTGACACTGGTACCCTGCCTCATATTTAAAGTATTTGGGGGCAGAGGGAGACGAAGAAGAGAAAGGCAAGGCAGAGGCCCTCTGGATGGTGTGGGGAGAGATAGGGGAGAAGAAGAGGGTGGGTGGAGAGCAGAGAACAGTTGAGGGCAGAGAGGAGACCATCTTTGAGCATGTTTGGTGGGTAGGGGCCTCGCACCACTCTTGGATAGCATGGGAGACACCACTCCTCACTCCTTTCCTAGAAAGTACGTGATGCTGTGCCTCTGTCCAAGTCAGAGAACTCAGGGGAACTCCTGTCTTCAGAATGACCTCTTACTGCCATCCAGTAGTGACAGCCAAATGGGGCTTTCAGAAGTTTATTCAAGTGACAAGCCATTATAAACCAGAACTTGTGGGCATTAATGCTTAAAAAGGGAATTTGGGCGTGTGATCCATGACTGTAATCCCAGCCTGCTCAGGAAGCATGGGTCAGGGATCCAGGTCCCGGGCTGACAAGGGCAAAAATCAAGAGAGACCCTATCTGGAAAAAAACAAAGCAAAAAAGGCTGAGGCTTGGCTCAAGTGGTAGAGCACCTGTCTAGAAAGTGGGAGGTTCTGTGAGTAGTTCCAAGTGCTAAAAGAGAGTGGTGAGGGGGAAGGGAGGGATGGAGCAAAGGAGTTTAATTGGTAAAGCATCTGCTTAGCAAGCATGAGGCCTTGAGTTCAAACCCCAGTATTGCCTAAAGAAAAAAAAAATAGCTGTGTGCTGGTGGCTCACACTTATAATCCTGTCTACTTAGGAGGCTGAGATAGGAGGATCATGGTGTGAAGCCAGCCTGGACAAGAAAATCTATGAGACTAATTTCCAGTTAACTACAAAAAAAAAAAAAAAAAAGGTCCAAGTGGAGCTGTGACTCAAGTGGTAGACTATTAGCCTTGAGCACAAAAGCTCAGGGACAGAATCTAGACTCTTGAGTTCAAGTCTCAGGATCAGCAGAAAAAGAGGGGGGGAAAGGGGGGGGCGAGGAAGGGAACTAGGGAACTTACTCTCTGCACTCCTGGAACCATTCTTTATGGGACAGATGTCTCTGTAGCTCAGATACCCAGACCTCCAGCCCACCTGTGTCCAGATGTCACTACTCTTTAACACCCCCCCCCCCCCCTTTGTTTACCCTTCACATCCCTTCCTGTCTTTCTCCCTCCCCCCCCCCCCCCCCCCCCCCACTGCTGAGAATGAACAAGTCTGGTTAAATTAGAACCGTCCTTCAGGGCTCTGATTCACTGCCTCACAGCAAAAACAGTGGTACTCAGCAGTAATTGTAAAAACTAAACAACCCAAAAGCCAGAGTGAAGTCAAAAAGTATTTTTCCACTTGATCTTTGGGAAAGTCCTAAACAAATGAGTTTCTCCTTTGTAATTACTGCAGGAGAACAGAGATTGGATTTTGTTTCTAGGCCACAACCAATGGACTATTTGTTCTGGTTTCTTTTATCTCCTCTAGCAGGCATTCTTTGGGTGGAACTGGAACCCTCCCTTTTAGAAAGAATTGGGGCTCTGCTGAGCTGTCTAATTACATGAAACAGACACTTTTCCTTCAAGCTGGGGGCTTTAGTAGCCTTGACTCATTGTGATGATAATGTAGGAAGTAAAAATCGCAACAATTAATAACAACACCAAAAGAACTTCTTTGAAACTTTTGCTACTTGTAGCCTTTTAGATCAGGACTGCAAGTGAGATCCAGTTAAATACTAGAGGCACTTTAGAAGCAGGTGATGTTGTAATATCTTTTTGCCACAATGATCTGACACTATGAAGAGATATCAAGTTTTAATTCTTACAAATTAGGAGGCATCATCTGACCAGGCTGAGCTCTCTCAGCTTGTGTCATTCAAAGTTTGCTCACTTAAATCTTGAGGCTGGAAAGCTGCTCTGGCTTTTTAGAGCAACACTTCCCCTCCTTACCTCCAGTACTAGGAGCGTTGAAAGTCTTTGGATATTTTTTTAGGAGCTTCAGAGCATTCTTAAGAGAGGGAAGCTATCTTTGGAGAACATTATGGAAAAGCTGCGAATCAAGTATTCTGAAATGTACACCATAGTCCCTGCAGAGATGGATTCCCAAGTGGAGGAATGCAGGAAAGCTCTCGAAGACCTGGATGAGAAGGTAATACTAATGTATGAACGCAGGTTAGTGCTGATCGGGCCAGATGATTACACAGGAGAAAAATACGCTTTTATGTCAAATTTTCAACTACCCTGATTTCAGCTCCAGCTGGTTGTGATCAAATTTGGTTAAAATGAACAGTTTGTGTATTGAATACGGAGGGGAAGATGCTTGAAATAAGGAGTCTCGATAACAGAATATTAGATCAGTAGTTTTTTTTGGTGGAGGTGCTTAGTTTTTCTTTGGTGTTTGACAGTAGTTTGTGTATTTTACTTGGCTTATTGTTGTCTTATTGTCATTTACTATACAATTTCTTAAAAGCTTGAGAAGTTAATAATACTTGGACTTAAAAATGTATTCCCCCCAAAACTTTTTGAAATGACATCCAAGGGCAGTAAGAATAAAAAAATTTACAACTCATTGGGAATAGTGTTTAACAAATAGCACATTCGGAATAGTACTTAGCATATAGTACCTGTCTGATGATGGTGTTACTAAAACGTTTATAAGCACACATAGACAAATGTTTCTGTGTGAACGTTTCAGTGATATGGTGGAAGGTATTATAGGACCAGAGACATAGTAGCTTAGCAACATGGACAGGTTTTCTAAGGAAAAATGGAACTCCAGTAAAAAGTATATAACTTCCTAATACCTGTTTATAAAAAATCGTTTTGGTTTAATGTACAAGATTACCTGTTAGATACTTTCATGACGATTATCTACTATTGGTTTTATTTTAAGAGATAGAGAAATTTTTTTAGAGAAATGAAAGGTTATTCTCATGAGTATTTTATGTAAAAATCCCTACAAAGTAAGTTAATAAAATAAAAATCAGTCTTTGAAATTCAAGATTGAGCAGGGTGCTGTGGCTCATGCCTACAAGCCTAGGTACTCAGAACACTGAAATTCAAAGCAAGCATAGGCAAAAAAGCCCATAAGACTTTTACTTCTAACTAACTAGCAAAAAGCCAAAATGGAGGTATAGCTTAAATGGTTGAGCTCTAGCCTTGAACAGAAATAGCCAAGAGAGAGTAGGTGACCTTGAGTTTCAAGCCTTAGTACTGGCAAAAACCAAACAAAAAAAAATTGAAGCTTTGTTAACTTGTGAATGATTCCGAGTTCCTTATTTCCTGTATCATGTCATGTTCGCCATGTATCTAAATAGTATGTTTCTTCCAGGAGAATGCTTTCCAAAAATATTAGACAACTTCCTTTTGTGATCATTTGTTACATAGCCAGAAGGAATAAAATAATATAGGATTAAATAAGAGTTTTAAAAGTAATAATCATGATTATAGTATACTCTGTGGAATAAAAACCTGATTCCAAACGTATTAGCTGCCAGTGGTGAATAGAGCCTAGGATAGAGTCTGGAGATTTGAAGACTTTTTGGAAAGTCTAGCCGCAACCATTCAGCCTGGGTTTCAGTTTCTGCATCTGTATACTTGCCTTCATGGGATAGTTTTAGTCTCATTGGTCATATTAATGTGGTACAGATTAAAGTATTAGGCAGAAGCATATAATATTAGTTGGTAATTTGTTGGCTACTTGGACATTGCCTTATCGTCACAGCTTCAGAAAACAAGAACAGAAATGAATCAGGCATTTAGGAACATGAGACATTCACCATTCATTTATTGTCTTTCCTAGCACAAGTAATTTTCTTAAGGAAATCACCTAGGTAAAAAAAATTACATTGCCTGCAGCTAGATTTCTTCTTTGCTCAAGGCTGGTATGCTACCATGAGCAGCTAGATTTTTGATTGCAAGGAAAACACATACTAGAAACAGTCATGTAGAAAAATTAAAGTGTCTCCATCTTAGAAAATCTCCACTTTGAGGAGATTGTTTTATGCAGATGAATATTAAGGTGGAAATCTTGCTTTTAAACTGCCTTGAGAATAAGTTTGGTTTTATTAAAAACAGACAAGGCCAGGCACCAGTGGCTCACACCTGCATTCCTAGCTACTCAGGAACCTGAGATCTGAGGATCATTGTTCAAAGCCAGCCCGAGCAGGAAAGTCCATGAGACTCTTTTTTTTTTTTTGGTCGGTTGTGGGGCTTGAACTCTGGGCCTGGGTGCTGTCCCTCAGCTCTTCAGCTCAAGGCGAGCGCTCTACCACTTGAGCTACAGCGCCACTTCCGGTTTTCTAGTGGTTTATTGGAGATAGGAGTCTCACAGTCTTTCCTGCCCGGGCTGGCTTTGAACTGCGATCCTCAGATCTCAGCCTCCTGAGTAGCTAGGATTACAGGCGTGAGCCACCAGCGCCCAGCTCCATGAGACTCTTATCTTCGATAAACCACTAGAAAAAAACCAGAAGTGGTGCTGTGGCTTAAGTGGTAGAGCTCTTTTGTTCAAGGATAGCACTCTACCAGCTAAGCCCGACCTCTACTTTCAGCTGTTTCTGGCCATTAATTGGCAGTGAATCTGACAGGCTTTCCTGCCCTGGCTGGCTTTGAACCTCAGTCCTCAGATCTCAGTTACCTGAGTAATGAGGATTACAGGAATGAACCATCAGCACCCAGTATGAATTGTATTTTCTTAAAATTAATTAATGTATAGATGGCATTTAAAAGATCAGGTAAACACATTGCCATTCCATAGCTAGTGATCTACCCTGTCATGAATGCATTTGCTGGTATGATGTGGAATTATTTTCTTCAGACCTTCCAAGTTTTTGCAAGTACTGGTTTTGTTGTTTGATCCTGGGGATGGAGAACAGAAATCCTTGGTAAGCCCAGCATGACTTTTCTCATGTAACAGATCAGCAGTGAAGTCTTGAAGAGCTCACCATCCTACATAATGAGCAGGAAAATAGAGGACATTAATCATGGGCTCCAGCTTGTTGAAAAGTTGCTGCAGCAGAAAAGCAAAAACATGGAGATGGCTCAAGAAATCCAAAAGGTAATGCCTTCCTGTCACTCAGCTCAGCAACTGCAGTCTCTGATCTACTGCACACACACACACCATTCCACCCTCAATTGATCATCCCAAGGTGAGGTCTTTAGACTCACTTGCATCTCTGAGACCCTAAGCCACATCTGTAGTGTTGGTGATGAGAAGTCACCCACAGGGCCTGTAGAGAGAAGGGTTTACATTGGAGAATGAGTCTCAAAGTTTTGCAGGGTAGGCACATGCTTGACTCCTCAGAGTCTCTGAAGTAGGGTTTCCACAGAAAGGACAGTAAGGATCTTATATTGGGAAGAGTTTTCAATAGCCTACTTTAAAACCAAATGTTTATCTCATTACTTTTTGTGAAATTAGGACAGTATTGGCCTTACTTGTTGTGATTAATCTCTAGAAAATGTCCTGGTCTTTCTGTTCCCTTGCAGCTAATTTTCCTGAAACAGATTCTGCCTGTTACAGGTAGAAGAACTCAGAAAAAGTGGTTTTTGGTTTAGATTACAAATAGTTACAGCATATAAATTCAACAAGTATGCCTGTGATATTATTTAAGTAGCTTTTCCTCATGCAAATACTTTGTAAGAACAAGGTCATTACGTCATCTACCATGGCATCTTCACTTAAATCAACTTACAATTTCCTTCTCCAGAAAATGTGGGATGAGCTGGATCTCTGGCATGCCAAGCTAAATGAGCTGGATTCTGAAGTTCAGGACATTGTTGAACAGGACCCGGGTCAAGCTCAAGAATGGATGGATAACTTGATGATTCCTTTCCAGCAGTATCAGCAAGTATCACAAAGAGCAGAAACCAGAACCTCTCAGTTAAATAAGGTGAGACTGCAATAGCTGATAGTTCAGAGATAGGTTGAAACCAAAAACAAACAAAGCTGGGTGCTGGTGGGTTACGCCTGTAATCCTAGCTACTCAGGAGGCTGAGATCTGAGGATTCCAGTTCAAAGCCAGCCCAGGCAGGAAAGTCTGTGAGACTCTTATTTTCAACTAACTACCAGAAAACTAGAAGTAAAGCTGTGGCTCAAAGTAGTAGAGCATTAGCCTTGAGGTGAAGATCTCAGGGGTGTACCCAGGCCCTGAGTCAAGCCCCAGGACTGAGACAAAAAGAAACACACACACACACACACACACACACACACACACAATTCAGAGTCATCCAGTTCTCTTTGAATTACCAGCTACCTTTGCTGAAGTTCATGCTGTGTGGTAAGCTCACATGGGCACTGAGGAAAACAGAATTCCAGTAGAGATACAGGTCAGATTGGATAAGCAGAACCAAGAAGCCAAAAGTCAGAGCACTGCTGGAGGCCAGGCAAGTGCTGAGATTTACTAGGTACATGAAGAGCAGAGATAGGTATTCATGGGCAATCTAGGCAGGGAGTGAGCCTTGGGAAAGGCTGCCCTTTGGGAACAAAATCCCTCTACTCCATTCTAAATAATGCTGGTGTGATATGGTGAGTTCTGAGTATCATCTATCAAGGATAGGATCCCAGTCTTAAAGGAAGTGGGCTATCACAGGGCAAAGTCCTGAGCAGGAAGAACTACAGGCCGTTACCAGAGAGAAGTTAATGTGAACTAGACTAGTTGAGGCCCATAGAACTTAATACATTTCCCCCATGATCAGGATTGTGGAAGCATGTTAGCCTGGAACCAAAGTGCTAGTGTTGTCAGCCATGGGGACGAGATCTTCAAGGCGTGGCATATCACCGACAGCTGCTAGCTTCTTCATTCAGGAGTCATTCACCTCCTGTAACCAGAATCCATCTGAGTTTGTACTGCATTTCTCTCCCAGGCCACGATTAAGATGGAGGAATATAGTGATCTTTTGAAGAGCACAGAGGCTTGGATAGAAAATACTAGTCATTTGTTGGCCAATCCTGCCCCCTGCGAGTCTTCAAAGACCCTGAGTCACCATGCCAGTACCCTCCAGGTAAGCTCTCTGAGGTTTTCTGTGAATGAGAGACCTCCATAATGGTCAAGGGATTCTCTCACTAGCACCATGGGCTTTTTCCTCCTCTGAAAAACAACCTTAGGCTGGCTACTCATACCAAGAGATGGAAGGAAACACAGGCTAGGTGCAGGCTTTAGTCAAGGATTTTGGAGACCAGAATAGAGTTCTGTATGTTTCTTGTCATGACTTTTTAGATAATTTTGTGTGTGTCTTCCATGGGCCTCAGTTTCCCCCATCTGTGAAGTGAGAATGTTGTACTGGCTGGCGTTGATGGATTTGACTGATAGAATTCTAACAAGCCTCCCCCTCCCCCACCCCCTGCACAGTTATTCTTTGATCATCCTCTCCTTTAAAAACCAGTAGGAATGTGAATCTGATGGGGTAGTCAGGTCATCAGTGAAGTTATGGAACATGGCCAAGGTCATCCTGTGACTATGTGATCAATCACGAGTATTTGATGATGAGCCCCTCATAGTAGAGAAGAGAGAGTCTCTGCTACTGGCTTGAAGAAGAAGCCATATTGGCTGCAAGCAACCTGCAGCCATTATGGGGTGGGGGAAGGAAAAATTTAGATTTGTAAGTTATTTGTAAAACATTCTAAAAACTACATGACTGTCTCCATGATTTACAGTTTTTTTTCACCGTCTGTGGCTTAGCTTTATCAGTGTCTTTCAGAAAGCAGATGTTACTGACTTGCATGAAATCTAGTCCATCAATATTTATCCTTTCTGTGTTATCCTTTTATGCTGTAAGACATTTTTACCCAACTCAAGACCCACAAAGATATTTTTCTGCTATTTTCTAGAAATTTGGTAGTATTACTTCTTAGGTATGTGATCCATTTCATGTTAGTTGTATATGGTGTGAGTCAGGATGGAGATTTCGTTTTTTCCCAGTTGTCCCACCACCATTTATTAAAACAACTGTCATATTAACACCATGTTGAAAATTCATTAGATTCATATATGTAGGTCAGTTTCTGGTTTTCTCTCCTGTCTGTTGATCCGTGTGGCTAATCTTTTGCCTTTATGACAGTTGGATGATTGTCATAATAATGGCATGACTTTTATAACTTCTTACTCAAATTTGGTTAACTTTATTCTTTGTGTTTTCCTGTAGTTCTTAGAATCAACTTCTATTTATTTAGAGGTCTGTTGGAATTTTGGTCTTCTTTTGCTTCATTCAGCAATGCTTTATAGTTCTCAGTATATAGGTCTTGCATTTATTATAAAATTAATTGTACCGCATTTTACATTCTTGATGCTATTGTAAAAGTTGCTGTTAGCAAAAAGCATTGGATTTAAGTTTGAGTTTTCTTTGACTTCCACTAGGACTATTAATACACAATTTTAAATAATCTTGTTAATGTTAGAGATTTTAAAGTTCTGCTTGAGCAGAAATGTGAACAAATATAAATCTGTTCTGAGTTAAATTTTAGTCAGTTTGTTTCATTATCTTGGTTTTGTTTTGCAGTGATAGGGCGCAGTGTTTCATTTTCTTTCTCTTCCATATTTCTCTTATCTAGATGGCTTTGGAAGATTCAGAACAGAAGCACAATTGCTTACATTCAATTCTCATGGATCTAGAAGACTTGTCAGTCATTTTTGAAACAGATGACTTAATACATTCCGTACAAGAGTTAAGCTCTCAGGTAGCAGTTTTACAACAGCAGATAATGGAAAGCCTTCCACATGTTCAGCGAATGGCAGATGTAAGTTTGTACCACAAAGATGTGAATGATAGACAAATGGGGAGGAACTCAAAGATGCAGTGACTTTGTGCCTCTGATCATAGAAAATAATATTTATCAAAATGAAAAAAATAGAATAGGCAAATGATGGCTCATGCTTGTAATCCTAGCCACTCAGAAGGCTGAGATCTGAGGATTGCAATTCAAAGCCAGCCAGGACAGGAAAAGTTTATGAGACTCTTGTCTCCAACTAACCAGCAAAAAGTACAGCTGTGGCTCAAGTAGCAGAACACTAGCCATGAACAAAAAAGCTCAGGGACTGGGTTGGGAAGGTGGCTCAGTGGTAGAGTGCTTGCCTTGCATGCATGAGGCCCTGGGTTCGATTCCTCAGCACTACATAAGTAGAAAAAACTGGAAGTGGTGCTGTGGCTCAAGTGATAGAGCACTAGCCTTGAGCTGAAGAGCTGAGGGACAACGCCCAGGCCCAGATTTCAGGCCCCACGATGGACCAAAAAAAAAAAAGTTCAGGGACACCATCAGCATAAAAAAAAAACAAAATTTATACTGCTTATTATGTCCCACCCACATAAATAACACTTGTTATTCTTGAATTATGTCTTATCTTACTTTGCAACTTGTAATGCAAAGAAGAATGCATACTTCCTAATTCATCCAGAAATGGCCAGTCTAGAGAGAGAAAAGTCTTCATCAAATAAGCTCATGGTTATCTGTTAAAGAGCAGATACTGTTGAATTAGTATCAGTGTGGTGGCTCAAGCCTATAATCTTAGGTACCTGGGAAGTAAAAAGAGACTGAAACTGGAGGCTAGCTGGGCAAAATAATTTTTTTGCAAGTCTGTCTTGTCCAGTGACTGGGCGTGGCTGGGCGTGGTGGCATAGTACACTTGTTATTCCAGCTATGCACGCTAACTAGGCACCATGGTGAGCATCTGCTATCACCACAACAGGGAAAGCACAAACAGGAGTCTCACAGTCTGGGCCAACCTGGCGAATGAGAGCCTACCTAAAATATAACCAATACAAGAAGGGTGGGTGGAGTGGTTTGTGTGGCAGAGTTGCAGCCTAACAAGTGAAGCCATGAACTCAATCCCCAGTACTGCCAAAAAGAAATTAGTAAGTAAAACATTGATTTGGAAAGAGAGACTTGAAATAGTAACCCCTAAATCTTCATTCACCCATAGCCAATATTTACTAAGGAGATGCTGTGACACGATGCCACAATTTTTTAAATTCATTTTGGATTTGTTGGAGTCATAAAGCTTTTACTTAAAGATAAAGTCACCTCGTACAACAGCTTCACTTAGAATTCTGTGTGTGAGTGTGTACACATACACATGCATGCGTGCACGTGCATGTGTGTACATGCTGGATTTGGGGCTTATACTTAGGCCCCCTACTCTCTATTAGCCTTTTTTGCTCCAAGCTGTCATTCTATCACTTGAGCCACACCCCTACTTCTTGTTTTTGTTTTGTTTTACTGGTTAAATCGGAGATAAGTCTCCTAGATTTTTCTTCTTGGACTGGCTTCTAACTGCCTTCCTCGTATCTCAGCTTCCTGAGTAGCTAGGATTACAGGTGTGAGCCATATTGTTACAGCAGGGCTTGCTTTTGCTTATTTTTGCAGCGGTTTCACTTTATGGTTCTGGGCTCGATGTGGACATAAATGAACGTGGATAGAAGAAATAACCACTTAACATGTGATCTGTGGTTTAAATAAATTGAAAAAGGTTATAAAGTAATTTGGAGGCATTTTGCTTGGGTATTTTAGTAGAGGGGGGTGATAAGAAATCCTGATGGTTTTCCAACTCCTTGTGTGTTCATTTCTCAAGGGTAACTTTCTCATTTTACTTATACTGATGGGAATTTTTTAAGTGTCAGACCATTTGTAGTTAAGTAAGCACATTCCAGAGATAAATCTAAAGACTTTGTAGATAATAGAGAGTTTATTTTTTAAAAAAAGATTGGCTTGAATGCATACTACCTTTGTTCTCATGAGTAATTGAAAATTGGTTCCAAGATTATCTTTCGTAACAAAGTATAAGCAATGCTTTGTAATATTAATGTGCTAGTAATAGAACATATTTCTTAAAGCCATACACTGTGTATCACTGATTTTTTTATGACATATAAGTAGCAAACTTTCTTTGATTAAATATGAGAATAGAGTCAACAGAAATACTTGTGTGTGGGAATGTGTTTTGTATGTTGGGACTGGGGCTTGAACTCTGCCTGGGCTCTGTCCTTTAGCTTTTTCCAATCATATCTGGTACTCTACCAGTTGAGCCACATCTCCACCTCCGGGCTTTTGGTGGTTAATTGGAGATAAGAGTCTCACAGACTCCTGCCCAGGCCTGGCTTCCAACCTTGATCCTCAGATCTCAACTTCTAGATAGCTAGGATTACAGATGTGAGCCATCAGAACCCAGCTAATAGTTTTGTAAATAATAGATCACTAGTGTACTTATTTTTGAAATTCTAGGATGTGGTTGCTATTGAATCTGAAGTAAAATCAATGGAGAAGAAAGTTTCCAAGATCAAAGCTATCCTGTTATCAAAAGAAATATTTGACTTTCCACCTGAAGAACATCTTAAGCATGGAGAGGTAAGCAGACACCATATTACAGTTATTTCCTCACCAGGCACTGGCAGGTCATGTCTGTAATCCTCACTATGCAGGAGGCTGAGATCTGAGGATCATGGTTTGACACCAGCTCAGGCAGAAAAGTCCATGAGACTCTCATCTCCAATTAACTACCAAAAAAAAAAAGAGCCAGAAGTAGAGCTGTGGCTCAAGAAGTGGAGCACTAGCCTTGAACACAAAAGTTCAGGGACAGCACCTACGCTCTGAGTTCAAACACCAGGACCTTCACACATACACGCATGCACGCGCGCGCGCACACACACACACACACACAAAACACATTTTTTTCTCATCATACTATGTCTGTTTTTAAAATACATAATCATAGGATGTGATGCAAAGATACAGTCTTGCTAGAGTAATTGCAAAATAAGATTGGGAAATAGATGCCAATGTAATATGAATAATATTCTAAAGCATAGTCATTGGATTAGCTATGTAAAGATAATTTTCCTGATGATTCCTTTGTTTCTTAAGTCCTGCATCTAAGTCAGGTGGCAGGAGGCTTCTGCTCCCAGTGACTGCGCCTACTGGCTGTGTGACTGAGTGTATTTGTTCCATGAACTCTTTGGTGTCTGTGCATTGGTATTGAAATGATTACATTGGCCAGTTGCAGTGTAAATGGAAAGAGTCTAATCTATAGCAAACATACCCCCTCAGCCTAGTAATTGAAAACATGTACTGGGTTCTAATCTTGCCACTGACTCTTGCAATCTCACCTTACTGGGTTGTTCTAATTCCTGGGAACCTGACTTCCTTCCCTGTGAAATGGAGGTTAGGATAGTTCCTTCCTACAATGATGCTGAAGATTAAATGAAATGATTTAGATGGAGTATTTAGGAAAATGAACACTCTCTTCAAATTATTGCTATGAATCAGATTTAGTAAAGCAAAATATAATTAGATTTTTGGCACTCAAAACTTGTCTGGACAATTATGTTTAATTCAGCAAGCCTTTTTCTTTTTTGTTTTTGGCAGTACTGGAAGTTGAACACAGGTCTTCATGATTGCCAGGCAGGTTCACTACTATTTGAGCCACTCTGCTAGCCCATTGTGTTCTGTTTTTTTTGGGTCCGGTCGTGGGGCCTGAACTCTGGGCCTGGGCGCTGTCCCTCAGCTCTTCAGCTCAAGGCTAGCACTCTACCACTTGAGCCACAGCGCCGCTTCCGGCTTTTTTCTTTTTGCTTATGTGGTACTGAGGAATCGAATCCAGGGCCTCATGCATGCAAGGCAAGCGCTCTTCCACTGAGCCACCTTCCCAGCCCCTGTTCTGGTTATTTTTGCAATTGGGTCTTGCTTTTTATTGCCTAGGCCAAGCTGAATTTCAGTCCTTTTATTTATACTTCCTGCTATCGCTGAGATGAGAGAGGCATGTACTCCCTCACCCAGACTTTTCTGTTGAGATGAGGTCTTATGAACTATTTTTCCTGGCTGGTATGGAAGCAATCACCATCCTCCTATTATCAGCCTTTAAGTAGCTAGGATAACAAATGTGAGCTATTAGCACTTAGCTCAGCAAGCCTTTTTTGAGTGTTTCCTGTATACGAGGCTCTATGCCAGGTACAGTTGCTTTGAAAATAAGATGCCTAGTGACAATACACGTAGCCAGACCTTGCTACCAGAGAGGGGAGGAAGAGAAGGACTAAATCTGTTTTTTTTTTTGGTTGGTCCTGGAGCTTGAACTCCGGCCTGGGTGCTGTTTCTGAGCTCTTCAGCTCAAGGCAAGTGCTCTACCACTTGAGCCAAGTGTCACTTCCAGTTTTCTGATGGTTAATTGGAGATAAGAGTCTCACAGATTTGCCTGCCTGGGCTGGCTTTGAACCGCAATCCTTAGATCTCAGCCTCCTGAGTAGCTAGGATTCCGGTCATGAGCCACTGGCGCCCAGCTAAGACTAAATCTTATATTAATTTTGAACAATCAAACTTAGCAGAGGCCGCTTTGTTTTCTTTCATATCTATATCCTGCTCCTCTTCTGACATGAAGGTCATTCTGGAAAACATTTGTCCCATGAAGAAAACCATTGGGGAGATAGTGTCTTATCGTGAGGAACTCAAGCTGCCCCAGACTGGAATGAAGCCTCTGCTGGTGTTTCAGAGGATAGATCAGCTATTACGGGATGTGACGCTGTTGGAGGATGCCACTCAGGAGCAAAACGAGTTATTGAAAGTAAGTAGTTTGTGATGATAGCCAAGGAACTGGGTGCAACATTCAGAAATGCTGGTCATGTTCCCCGTTTTAAATGAAAGTACTTATGCAGGAGATAGCACTGATATAAAAGGTTGTTTTTGTTTTGGGGTCTTTTGGTGTGTGTGTGTGTGTGTGTTTTGTTTTGTTTTGTTTTTTTGGTGCTATTCTTAGGGCTTAAACTCAAGGCCTTGGAATTATCCCTGAACTTTTGTGCTCAAGGTTAGCGCTGTTCTACTTTGAGCCACAGCTTTACTTTTAGCTCTTGGGTGATAAGATAATTGGAGACAAGTCTCATGGACTTTCCTGCCTCCGCTGGCTTCAAATCCTGATCCTCAGAGCTCAGCCTCCTGAGTAGCTGGGATTACAAGTGTGAGCAACCAGTTCCTGGTACATAGGTCATTTCTTTCAGTTAAATAGTGATAGTATTATCTCCAATTAGTAAATTAAAGCTTATAAAATTAGGTGTTATAAATGTATTTAAAATTCATGGATATAATGGAGGTTATCTATAATCCCAGCACTCAGGAATCTGAGGCAGGAGGATTATAAATCTGAGATAGGCTTTGACTACAAAGTGAGACCCTGTCGCAAAAAAAAAAAAAAAAAAACAAATAAATAAAAAGATCCATGAACTGTGGGAAGAGATACTGTCCTGATGAAGATCAAGACTGTATCTAGAGAGCATTATTTAGACTTATAAATCTATAGAACCAGTAATTCTCTAGATTATTATTATATAATCACATAGTAATCTCTGTGTCCATTGCACTCATCTCTTATTGAGCAACATTTTACTTCTTTTTCTGGAGGAAGAGAATGATTAGGGTTTGAACACAGGGCCTTGCCCTTACTAGGCAGGTGCTCTAAACCTGACTAGCCATGTATTCTCCAATATTGTATTGTTTGTAGAGTAAGCACTTTATTGTCTTTGTGGAGACCAACTAGTATGGAGGGTCAAATGGCTTATTTAAACACTTCTTAGTTAATGGACTTCACTGATCACATAGTGTCAGTTTATATGTGAATAGGTCAAGGATTTGAGTTTCTGAGCCCCTAACATCATCCCCCTATACTGATGGTCCCTTCTTTCTGACACCTTTCTGCCTCTTTCCAGATAATTTACTTTCTCACTAGTCTCATTCATTAGAAATTATCTCTTTTTTTAGTTTACATTCCTAGATTAAAAGCCAGTCCCCCTAGAACATAAGAATGCTGAAAGAGCCTGAATCCTACATAGGGCTCACCCCTCTTGGTAGACATCCTATGTCTTGCTTTTGAAAACTGCTGTGGTTTACTTAGATATCATTCTCATTTAGGTGACCATGACCACTTTATCCCCCTAGAGTAAGTGGGAGTAGGGAGGATATTATAGCCTTTGCTTTGAACCTCTTCCTCCCCCCAGATGTCTTTCAGACTAGAGCGTGTTATGTAGCAAAAGTTAGCCTCAATCGCATTATGTAGCCTCAAACTCTGAATCCTCCTGCCTCTGCCTCTTATGTGCTAGAACTATAGCTGTGTGTCAGCATGACTCATGCTCTGTTTGAGTCTTTACTCAGACACACACTCTCTCTTTCTAGCCTGGGTATTCATCACCTGATGTCATTTCTTAACACCCACAGAGAGAGAAAAAAGACCTAGCAGTCAATGTACTATTTATTTATATTTTATTTTTCTGCCTGGGGCTTGAACTCTGAGCTTGGGCACTGTCCCTCAGGTTTTGTGCTCAAGGCTAGTGCTCCACCACTTGAGCCACAGCTCCACTTCTAGCTTTTTATGGTTAATTGGAGATAAGAGTCTTATGAACTTTCCTGCCTGGGCTGGCTTTGAACCTTGTTCCTCAGACCTCAGCCTGCTGAGTAACTAGGATTATAGACGTGAGCTACCAACATCCAGCTTCAGTGTATTATTTTTGTAATAATTTGTCGAGAGGAAAAGTACCAAATTCAGTATATCATTTTTCATCTTTTTTTTTGCTTTATTGGTCTCTTGGTCAGGAAAAGAAAATGCCAGTTCTAACTATGCCTTGAAATAGTTTTCTTCACAAAATAAAAGAGAATGATAAAAGTCAGCGTGATATTTATTTCCAATTTAGATATTAAAGGGAGTTAGTAAAATTTTCCATCTTGTGTGGGTGGAAGTCAGATGCCCCTCCTATGTCTTAACGCTCCGTAAGTCAGTGGTAATGAAAGTCAGGAAGAACAGAGGACATTTCCTTCAATCCCTCCGTTAACTATTCCAAGTGTCTCCATTGTCAGAAATAAGATAGATGAGGTTGGTGGGAGGGATGGGAGGTAGTTCATTACAGAAAGCAAGGAAATGGGTGTGTGCCATCAGCATAGTTACTGATTCCCAGCCTGCAGTGAAAATGGTAGTTAAATATTAGAGAAAATACAAGGAAGAATTATACAGTGGCTAGAAACTTCGTAGTTCCAAAGCATACCAGCAGAGTACCCAGGCTTGTTATGGAAGCCCATCTCTTTATCTTTTTTCCCACTTTGATCTTATCATTTAGTCCACAAGCAACCTGAAAGAATGCATATGGCTTATGTTTTAAAATGGTATTATGGACACATCAATAATTTCATAGGTCTTAGAAAGTTTATGTTCAAAAGCTCCAAAGAGCTTTCTAGAACAAATCCACTTGGTTGGAAATAAATAGAGAAAAATGGCTCTTGGTAGACTTATAAGATAGTATAGATAATGTTTAGAATGTGCCTATGATCTATTAAGAATACAAATACAGAATAGAAAAATGTGCCTTTCTTGTTGAAATATGTGTGGGTGATATTTTCTGCATTTGATTGGAATTTGTGACAGGGATTAGATAATGAGAATTTTCATTCACCTGGTTTTTAGATTATGACTTGATTCTGCTTATGGGGGCGCTGTTATTTTACAGGTAGTCATAAGACAGACTAATGAATGTGATGAGGAAATAGAGAATTTGAGACAGATCATAAGTAATTATTCAGCTGAGATCTCCCCTGAACACACGTCACCAGACCAAGCTGCCAACCTGCCAGCAGTGCAGGTAAGTGTCAGTCAGTCATTCATTCACCAGTTTCTTCAGTAATCACCTGTTTTACCCTCAGTGGCTCAGAGCCTCGGCAATACTGCAATGTTATGTTTGGCTTCTATTTTCCAATTGAAGCTGTTCACTGTGTTTATTTACTTTCTATTTATTTTTTAAATAAGTTAGTGATTTGTGCCAGGCACTTGGGACTCACCTATTACAATCCTAGCTACTCCAGGCGGCTGAGATCTGAAGATGGAGGTTTAAGCCAGACCAGGCAGAAAAGTCCATGAGACTCATCGCAAATGAATCAGCAAAAAGCCAGAAGCGGAGCTGGAGCTCTAGTGGTAGAGAACTAGCCTTGAGCAAAAAAGCCAAACGAGCGTTCGAGGCCCTGTGTTCAAGTCCCAGAACCAGCACAAACACATACAATATTCAAGATGCTTAACATGTAGAGTTTTTGTGTACATTAAAACATTTGAGGATCCCAGAGAGTTTTTGTTTGTCTATGCACAGATAGAGGAGATAAAACTCAGAGGTGTTTAGTTTTTTGATATTTACTCTTATTAAATAGTTGTACAAAGAGGTTTCTGTTCGAGAAGTGAGGTGATGAACAGAAGACATCTTGATCCATGTCACCCTCTCCATCCTTCTCTCCCAAGTTTTAAAATAACAATGATGTTAGCCAAAATAGCCTTTTTACTTTTTAGAGACAGTACTGGGTTTTGAAGTTGAGTCCTCATGTTTCACCAAGAAGGCATTCTGCCACTTGAGCGCTCTGCCAGTCTGTAAATAATGTTTTTATTAAGGAAGTTATATATCCCCAAAACCTTGTAGTCTCAGTCACTCAGTAGGCAGAGGCGGGAGGAGTTGGAAGCCTAGGCAAAGTTAGAGACCCCGTCTCTATTTATTGCATCTATTTTGCTTGAAGCACCGAAAGACAATCCAGCCTCTCCAAGGCATGCTTGGAAGAGGAAGCATCACTCCTAACTGAGCCTCCTGAAGGCTGGGGTTGTAGGTGAGCACCACCATACCCAGCCTACATCTTGCATTCTCCTACACATATGTGACTTTATAATGTTGTTCATCGTTTGGGGAACATTATTTCACCGAATTATACGGATCTTGCCAGATGCTCACGCACTTCAGTAGTCACTATATATAACACCTTAGAAGAATGTTAATATCACATTTAAGATCTTAAGTTAATGGGCTAACTTATTTCATGTGAAACTAGTGTTTTGGGAGGGGAGAGTTGGACAGCTGGTGGATGATAGTTCAGCTCATAACTCAGTCAGTCACCTAACTATTTTCCCTCAATCATTGGACCTGGGTATGTAGCAGCATCGCCTTAACGTACTTCCCAGTTTGTTCCCAAAATATTGAAAGTATATGTCTTTATCAAGGACATTCTTAAATGTTGCTCCATCCCCCATGACCTAAAGATTCTGAATTATAAGGTATGCAGAAGGGCTCAGGCATCATAAGCTCATAAACCCTACATCTGTGCAGCTAGGATTGAAAGGAAAGGAATTATCTTGTATACCAGAGGCTGGCTTTACAAACCATCAGCCTAAAATGGTCACTGTCCTGTGTACCAAAGGAGGCTGTTTCCTCTGAGCATCCAGTGACCCCCAGACTTCCTGAAACAATATAAACCATTTTTCCGCACAGGAAGAAATCAAAGGTATGGAGAAACAGATTCAGAGTTTAAACCAGAAAAAAGAGGAGCTTCTAGAGGACCTAAAGGTTGCTGTGCTAAACCTTCATCAGCATTTGAAGCAAGAACAGCCTGAAGCAGAAGGAGATACGCTATCACCCCATACTCCAGAGGAGAGCAGAGCTACTGAAAGGGATGCTTGCGAGTGGAAGGTAGGTGTAGGTGTGGCTGTAGGTTAATGCTCAGCCCACACAAATCATTTCTCACCTGGATGATCTGTGGCATGTGTGTATGACCCATAGTGAAGGAATTTTATTAAGTGGAAATCACTGCACTTGAGTTTGTTTACTAGCGAACAGAAATCCTCAGGGCGTACCTGTGCTGGATTCAACCCAGAATTCTTATGCCTGAGTTACTTCAGGATGTGCTTAGGAAATTCCACAGGCCAAGAGGGTGGGAGCTCCCTTTGAAGTATCTGTCTACAGAGTGGTCAAGCCCCAAGGCCGACTGAAAAATAGCCCAGCAGCATTCTGAGCTCAATCTTCAGTTGTTTGGTGAGGGGCTGTCGCGGGTGATGCAAAAGATAAGGCCTCTAGTTTCACCATGAGGGTATTTGGCCAAGAGAGCTGAAAAAGTGCAGGGCCCAGAGGCTGTGTGTAGGAGGACATCTTGGGTAATGGGCGGTGAAAAATCAGGTGCATAAAAATGTAGCAGGGCCAGGATGGTGCCATTGCCCATGCTGGATGGGAGCCTGACCGCTTGCTTGGTGTCCTTGTGCTGTGCCTTTCAGGTGGACAGGAGAGGCTCCATGTCTTTCTTGCCAGCCGTCAAGGAAGAAGCAGAAGAAAGCTCGGTGAAGAGTGAAGTAAGGACAATGATTTTTGCATTAAGGGTAGTCAAAGCCAATCTCTTAAGAGGTCAAAGAAAAGATATGAAAATAAATAGATGCCATAGGACTTTAAAAAATTAATAATTGCTTATTTTAAATCTTGATATTTTTCAAGTATGACTGAATGCTCTTAAATATGGCTTAAATGAATCTCTACCTCCTTCGCCACATGAGAGTGGGGTAAATGTAACTGTGTTTCTTGCTATAAGGCGGCAGGGCAGGGTCTTCTGTTAGGTCCAGACTTCACGGTGTTTTCTCTGAAGCTTTGTAAAGTTTTTGTTTGCTTGGCACTTTGATGGGGTTTTACAACTTGATGTTTCCTGTATGTGAATCTCTTCTTTGGCCTAAGATAGTTTTGTGGAGGATATGGTCTGTGCTAGCAACTAACCTTCTCCTGCTTTGCTACTTCACTGCAGCTGGGTGAAGGGGACATTTACAGTTCACTTTCCTGGTATCAGATTACATGTTGTACTTTAGAAACTGGAGTTATAATGTGTCTTAGGCTAAAAGGAAGAAAATTGCAGCAACTTACAGGCTTTCTGACTGACATAAAACCACCAGGCATTTTTCTGATCACATTATAGATTCTTTTGTCACCCAGCCTGTCTGTTACACAGACACTGATTCTGCCCCTTTAAAAGGACAGAGAGAACTGTGAGAAAGAAGGAACTAAAATAAATAAAAAGAGGACACCAGAGCTGGGAAGGTGACTCAGTGGTAGAGTGCTTGCCTCACATGCATGAGGCCCTGGGTTCGATTCCTCAGCACCACATAAGCAGAAAAAGCCAGAAGTGGTCCTGTGGCTCAAGTGGTAGAGTGCTAGCCTTGAGCTGAAGAGCTGAGGGACAGCGCCTAGGCTCAGAGTTCAGACTCCACAACCGACAAAAAAAAAAAAAAAGAGGACACCAGTATTATTTTAATTTCAGACGTGTTTGTTTCTGGGGTGATATATTTTTAGTATGTGTTTATCTTGATGACAGCAACAAAAGTACATGCTCATCAGGTTTTTTTAGATTGATGAGTGAAATGATAAATATGGTATACATCATGAGGTTTTAATATATGTACACATTGTAGAATGCCTACATTAAGCTAATGAATATACCCCTTACCTTGCATACTTACCCTTTTTTGTGATGAGAATACTTAAAACCCTGTTAACAGTTTCCAGATCTATAATGTCTTGTTGCTGTTACCGTGATGTGCTGTAGATAGCTTGGCCTTATTCCTCTCATCTACCTCTGATGGGGAATTTGGTCGTGGGGCCTGAACTCTGGGCCTGGGCACTGTCCCTCCGCTCTTCAGCTCAAGGCTAATGCTCTACCACTTGAGCCACAGCGCCACTTCCGGCTTTTTTCTTTTTGCTTATGTGGTGCTGAGGAATGGAACCCAGGGCCTCATGCATGCAAGGCAAGTGCTCTACCACTGAGCCACCTTCCCAGCCCATGGTGGGGAATGTTCTGTCCTTTGGCCTTCACCTCCCTATCCTCTGGCCCCACTCCTACATCCCACCGACCATCCTTCCCACTCTCTGCTTCTAGTAATTCACCTTTTTACATTCTGCGTACACACAAGATCATGGGATGGTATGCGGTAGTGGGATTGCTGGATGGTATGGGGCTGCTTTTTTTAAGGAACTTCTAGATAATGACTGTGTTCATTTACAATTCCCCACTGTCATCCAGCTTCCCTGTTCTCCACATCCTTACTGTCACTTGTTATTCTTTCTTGTCACTTGTTGTCTTTCTGAAGAAAGCCATGCCACGAAACTACACCTAGCTCCTAATTGTGGTTGTAGCATTAATTTACATTTCTCTGCTGACCCGTGGTTCTGAGCAAAAATTTTTCTTGCATGCACCAGACTGTTATTTTAAAGATAGTATTTAAGCTAATATTAGCCAAAAGTAGAAAAATACCTATACTGTTTTAGATCTTTTTTGTGTGATTTGAGAGCTTTATCTCTCTCTCTTTCTCTCTCCCTCTCCATATATATATATATATATATATATATGCACCCACTGTTGGGAAGGTGATTTAATTAATATAAGAAATAGGATATGCTGGGCGCTGGTGGCTCACACCTATAATCCTAGCTACTCAAGAGGCTGAAATCTGAAGATCGTAGTTCAAAGCCAGCCAGGGCAGGAAAGTCTGTGAGACTCTTATCTCCAATAAACCACTAAAAAACTGGAAGTGGTGCTGTGGCTCAAGTGGTTGAGCACTTACCTTGAGCCGAAGAGCTCAGGGGCAGCACCCAGGCCCAGAGTTCAAGCCCCACTACTGACCAAAACAAAAACAAAAAAACAAGAGGTGAGTATGAGAGAGTAGATATATAACAAGGTTCCTCAGTATAGTTGAGTCTTATTAGACAGGGCAGGAGGAAATACCTTTCTTTTGCTAACCAGTTGATCACTCACTGCCCTAGAATGGATATAAAAATGCAGAGCCATCTTCTGCCTCTCTGTCTCCGCTCTGGATACATGACAAGGATCTGGAGGAAGATGGAGCATCCTCTGCAACCATTATTCAGGTAATTCTGGGCTGTCATATGGTGGGGGGTGCTTTATTATTCAAATGTGCTTCCCTTTTCCCCCATTCCTTTTTCAGTCAGCACCTCCAAACTTTTAAAATACCAACGTATGGCCCAGATGAAGAATAAAAGTCAGGGCTCATCAGTGAAAGAGAGCTGGGTGCTGATGGCTCACACCTGTAATCCTAGCTGCTTAGGAGGTTGAGATCTGAGGATCATGGCCAGGCAAAAAAGTCTATGAGACTCTTACCTCCAAGTAACCACCAGAAAGCTAGAAGTGGCACTGTGGCTCAAGTGGTAGGGTGCTTGCCTTGAGCTGAAGAGCTTAGGGACAGCGCCCAGATCCTGAGCTCAAGCCCCTCAACCGACAGAAATAAATAAATAAAATCAATCAATCAATACTTGATCATTTGAAGTATACAGTACCCTGTTGTTAAATATGGTCACTGTTGTTAAATGTGGTACAGTAGACCTCCTGAACTTATTCTTCCAGTCTAACTGCCTCTTGAAAGATTCCTTTCCTGTCTACCTGGAGAATTCCAGTTTCCCACCCCAACAGATTCCCTCTTTTTGGCCCCATCCCACTTGCAAGCTGGTCCTCTCAGACCCCACCCTGGCTCTGGAATGGCTCTTCAGATAATGCTGCCCTGTGCTGCCCCTCTCCTGTAAATTTCCTGCCCATCCATAAAGACTGCCCTCTAGAAAGAGAGTGCCGGTCTTCTACAAAGAATACGGAAAGCAGCTGCTTCCTGCTCCCAGGCTGATATTTGATATTGTCAGGCTTAGCCAAACTGAAAGTGGTTAAATTAAATGTATAGTCTAAGAAGGGTGAGCATGTCTCTCTCTCTCTCTCTTTCTCTTTCTCCCTCCCTCCTTCTTTCCCTCCCCCCAACCTGTGTATAATTCTTTGCAACTTGTCGAAATCATTTGGCTCTTTTTCCAGATAGGGATTACTATTTCATTTGTTGATTTATTAGGTTAATCAATCTACTAAGGACATTAACCTTTATGACATCATCCCAGCGTATTGTTTTGCTTTTAACTTGAACTATGGTGTCTTCCGGGGTACACACAGCTATTTTTGTGTGGGCTATTCTGTCATACTTCAGAAGTTTTCCTCAGGCCTGGAACTGGTGCTGTGGCCTTGACCTTCCAGTGATAGACACACTTAGACTTCGTTGTTAGGAAAGAGACAAAGATTTTAGTTAAGGTTCTTCAGGAATTGTCTGGATTATTCCTAAATTTAATAAGTTCGTTTTTCCCCATTATCTGAACTTTGGCCATTGTTTAAGTCTTCATAATAATCTTAACAATTTCATTCTACGGATTCCTTGTGTGCTCGTTAATAAGAGAATTTGGGGTAACCTTCAAGCAAAGATGAGCCGGAGGCAGTTAATTTTTCCCTCAATGCACCTGCCTGCTGCACGCTGTAGACAAGCAGTCCAGGAAGAAGCGCTCCCCGGAAGCAGGGCAGAGCCGGCCTGAAACCTCTGACTTCTTTCTTCACAGGAGGCAGGTGGGAAGATAAGTACGTGTGACAGCTCTATGGCCGAGATGATCACACCCGATTCACAAAGCCCTGAGCAAGGCCCAGAAGCTTCTCTGATGCCCCACCAAGCAGAAGAGGTAAGTCCTTGCCTACCAACCAACCAGAGCTGGGAGTCCTGGTGTGCCAGCTAGAGGCAGTCAAGTTTCTGTCCCCTGCAATACTTCCTATGTTGAACCAGGTCCTCCTTGTGCACTTAAACATCTTTCTGTGAGCTGTCAGCTGTAGAAAACGGTGGGACATAAGCAGAGAAAGCTGTTTGTGACGACTGCTTTAATACATTCACAAGGCATGTGGGGACGGTGAAAGTGGGGAAGGGCTGGCGGTGACTAATGTCCCATTACATAAAAGGCACTTGTATTTCTTCTCCATTTAATGATCAGATTATCTGAGGTAGGTTAATGCCTACCATGAGTTTATAAAAGAGGAAATCAGAATTCAGAGAGTAAATCTCCAGGGAGTAAACAGGACAGTAAACAGCCACCCAATATTGCAGTCCTTTTCCTAGTTTGATGCTAACCCATTTCTGTTGTCCTCATAAAGGCCTTCCAGAAGGCCGTAAACTTCAGTTGATTTCAGTGTGTTACTATACCAAAACTCCTGAAAGATGCTGGCACACTTTTGCTACACTGAAAGTTTCTTTTAGCCAGGCACTGGTGGCTCATGCCTGTAATCCTAGCTACTCAGGAGGCTGGTATCAGAGGATCTGGTTCAAAGCCAACCTGGAGTAGAAAATCTTAAGAGATGCTTATCTCTATTTAACCAGCAAAAAGCTGTAAGCGGAAGTGTGGCTCAAATGGCATAGCAAAGGCAAAGTGAAAGCTTGAAGCCCTGAGTTTAAGCCCTAGTACCAACACACATGCACGCACACAAAAAGTTTCCTCTTTTATATGGAGTTCTATATATGTCTTTTCCCCAATCTTTTATCATTTTATCAAATCTAGATTTTGGTTAGTAACGTCTCTTCTTCTCTTACCCCTCCTGCATTTTCATTCTGTCTTACAGTGTTGCCTGGCATGGTAGCTAGATGTCAGAGGTTCGTGCCCACTGGAGATACTTAGGTTTAGGGAAGTTGCTGACCCTCCTCCATAGTATTTTGCTAGCCAGCGTCTGTATATTGTTTGAAATGTTGCTTAGTAGTGGTGTGGCTACCGTGGGCCTTATGCTTGTACATTGCAGTGCATTGTGTGTTTCTCCTGGTGTGGATGATACGCAGGGTTCTTGCCCTAACCATGTAATGAAGATAAATGAGAAAGAAGAGGACAGGGGAGGGTAACAAAGCTTCTGGAACGCCAGACCCTGGATGCTGTTCTTCAGCTTCCTCCCTCTCCCAAGGTTAACACTACCACTTGAGCCACAGCTATGCTCTGACTCTTTTGGGTTGTTTGTAGGGGTTGTTGGGTTTTTTTTGGTGGTTAATTAGAGATAAGAGTCTCATGAACTTTGCCAGGCCGGCTTCAAACTACAATCCTCAAATCTCAACCTTCTGAGGAGCTAGGATTGCAGGTGTGAGCCACCAGCACTTGGCTCACTTTTTTTTTTTTGGTGTGTATGTCTGTCATGAGGCTTGAACTCAGGCCCTGGGTGCTGTCCCTGACTTCTTTTGCTCAAGGCTAACACGCTACCATTTTGAGCTATACTCCACTTCCAGTTTTCTGGTACTAAATTGGAGATAAGAGTCTCACAGACTTTCTGCCTGGGCTGGCTTTGAACTGCAATTATTAATATGAACCACCAGCATCCAGCCTGAGAAGTTATATTTTTAGTTTAAAAAATGCACAACATTTTTTAGCTTCCCAAAATATAAAATTAAGAAATATCCAAATAAACTCTCCCTTTAGAATTTGAGGCTAGCAGCTGGACATTGGTAATCCTAACTATGCAGGAGGCTGAGATCTGAAGATCAAGATTCAAAGCCAGCCTGGGCAGAAAAGTCTATGAAATTCCTATTTCTGGTTAACTAACAAAAAGCCAAAATGGAGCTGTGGTTCAAGTGGTAGAGTACCAGCCTTGAGCATAAAAGCCAATGAGAACCGAGACTCTGAGTTCAAGCTACATTACCAACACAAAAATAAATAAAAAGGAAGGAAGGAAAGAAAAGATTTTAGAGATATGATATAGAGAAGAATTTTTTTTGAGGGGGGGTCTGGTTGTGGGGCCTGAACTCTGGGCCTGGGCACTGTCCCTCAGCTCTTCAGCTCAAGGCTAGCGCTCTACCACTTGAGCCACAGCGCCGCTTCCGGCTTTTTTCTTTTTGCTTATGTGGTGCTAAGGAATCAAACCCAGGGCCTCATGTATGCAAGGCAAGCGCTCTACCACTGAGCCACCTTCCCAGCCCTAGAGAAGAAATTTTTTAGTGGGAACACTGTAAAAAAAATTTACTCAAGAATTAGAATTTAGAAATGCTGTGTGACCTTGGGTAAGTGACTTATGTCTGGCCCCACATTTCCCAGAGGCACTGTGGTAAAATGGGAGGTATGAACCGGTTAAATGTTCTACAGACTCGGTTTCTTTGTAAAAAGAAGGGGCTGGACTCATCAGTGGCTGGTTCTTACATTGCACATAATTGTTTTCTCTTTCCATTCCTTTTGGGTTCTTTCCAAGTTTAAATAAGTAGCAAATAAAGCCCAGAATACTCATCCAGCTCGTTTATTTCCTTTAGTTAGTGAGAAAACAGAGAAACTTAATACTGGCATTTAAAGGTGTACGTGAACCAGAAGTGGTACTCAAATTGCATTTTTTTTAGTATATCAAGAAAGCAGATGATATTTCAGCTAGTACAGATTAATTCATTAATGTGAACAGATTGCTGTCTCAATAATTGGCAACAAAGGGATCTCCAGTCTTAATAAAAACTTAAGATAAAGTAAGATCTAAGAAATGGGAAACAATTCCTCAGACAACCAGAAATTGGTATCTAACAGTAACACCACACACTATTACTTTTTTTAAAAAAAATTTATTGTTACTATAAAGGTGTTCTACAGAGCGGTTACAGTTACTAAGTCTTTGCTCACTCCCAGTTTTTCTCCCATATCCCCATCCACAAGTTGTATAGTGCATTTTCAACAGTGTCCAGTGAGTACCATTGCTGCATTTGTTCACCCTTTATGCCCCCCATGTCTGTACCTCCCCTTACACTCCGTTGTTACTCTTAAAAAAAACAGCAACAACAAAAACTACTCAGGATGCAGAAATGTCAATACAGTTTTTCTTCTGCCTTGGCTGGAGTAGACAAATCCATAAGACTCTTATTTCTAATTAATCACAAAGACTGCAAGTGGAGCAAAGGCTCAAGTGGTAAAGTACCAGCTTTGTACAACAACAACAAAAAACTAATATACAGTTCAACCCCAGTACTAGCACCAAAAACAAAACCAAAACCCAATCAATAAATAATTTTAAAACATTGTAAGTTATTATCATCACAAGATAATATTTATTGAGATCAAAACTTGTGTAGATGGAAGTGGCACTGTGGCTCAAGTGGTAGAGTGCTCGCCTTGAGCTGAAGAGCTAGAGGACAGAGCCCAGGCCCAGAATTCAAGCCTCGTGACCAAAAAAAAAAAATTGGGGTAGATGAAAACAATAAATCCTGAGGGAATTTTCTCAAGAAGAGTCAATATGCTCTTACAATATTCTGGAAAAAGATAGAAAATACAGCGGAAGGCAGGTAGTTCTTTGTATGAAACCATCTTTTACCTCCAAATTGAAGCTATTTACAGTAAAAATTATTAGAATACTTAAGTTTCCTGCCTGGGAGAAATTTTGATAAGAAATCCAATTATTTCAATATATAAAACCGGTAACCTTAAACCAGCACTGATGACTCACACCTGTAATCCTAGCTACTCAAGAGGCTGAGATCTGAGGATCACCCGCCCAGGCAAGAAAGTCCATGAGACCTTATCTCCAATTAATCACAGAAAAAGCTGGAAGTAATGTGTGGTTCAAGTGATAGAGTGCTAGCCATGAGTAAAAGGAGCTCAGGTACCATGCCCAGACCTGAGTTCAAACCCCAGGACCAGGAAAAAAAAAAGTAACCCTATGCCTCTGGTCATATGAAATAATAATATTTGTCAAAATGAACTCCAGGAAATGGAAAAAAGGGTAATAATAACAATAAAATTATACTAAATAAAATCCCACTTTATTTAAACCATACTTTAGACATTCAGTCTTTCACTCAATAAGATTTGAGTGTCTAAGGAAGTAAAGTTTTTTAAAGTTTTTCTTCGTCGGCTAAGAGAAAAGTTTCTAGGTTATTCCACTGCAATTTGCTACTAGATTTAAGCTGGTGTTACTATAGAGATGTTTGGATGTATAGCAGCCTGTGTTCAAAGGTGAGCTATAATACTTTACAATCCACTTACTTGAGAAAAGGTTCATTTTAAGTATATGGTACATTTCCTTATACCCTCGCCGGTACGTTAAGAGCGTTTTGTTTTGTTTGGTTGTGTTTTATTCTGGGGTTTTTTTGTTTGTTTTTTTTTCTTCTCTGAATGGAGTGCACAACAATGCAAACATTGCTTAATCCTGTGTCATGCCACTTTAAACTGACCAGTTCCCTGAAATGTTTGGGGCACACACCCACATGCACACACTCTCACCTGTCTCCTGGGGCTCCCCGCTGGCTTCCTCTGCGCCCGCCCGGGAACACTGTACCTGTGTACATGCAATCCGCTGCCTGGAAACCTAGGCCGCCAGGTCATGTGACTGTTGCTATGAGTGTTGAGGTGCATTTTTTCTTTTCTTTCTTCTTCTGCCCCTATTTTGTTTCTTTTAACTGGGGGAAGCGGGGGGGGGGGAACCTCATAGGTCTGCAAATCTTTACAGGACTAAGTCTGAAATCTTTGGACTCCTGGTTTGACACTGCTAGATTACCTTTGGCTTTATCTTAGGGTACCGCACCTCCTATCAAGGCTGCAGGTCTGGACTTTTCTGACAAGCCAGGAGCTATTGAGGCCACGGTGGAGACAAGTAGGCCTCAGCCCTCAGAAGTCCTCGATGTGTGCAAGACTCAGGTGGCCAAGCTGGAGCTGTGGCTACAACAAGCCAACGTGGCATTTGAGCCGGAAACGTTAAACGCAGACATGCAGCAGGTGGTGGAGCAGGAGCTGGTCGGGTGCCAGGTAAGATGACGGGCTAGAGTTCACGGTGTGCCTCTTCACCAATCACCTGCCAAGGCTGAGCAAATTTCTCTTAAAGCAACACCGTGTTTCTTTTTGCTGCTGTGACCCTCACGTTTACCTTGGCCTTACTTGTGGTTCTCTAGGTGATTCTTTAAAATGCTTGCATTTCGGGGATGAGAGTGGATAAGAGCTAGAATCTGGAGTTCAAAGCCAGCTCTCTCCCATTCACCATGAACTTGGAGAAGTAAACTTCTCAGCTTCATTTTCAAGTAGCTCATAGGGTTGTGGCCCAAATGTAACCAGAACAGGTATATAAAGCAGTGTCTGGCATAAAAACAAAACCAACAATACTCAATTACGGCTGTTATTTTTATTCATCATCCTAAGTATTTGAAGATTCCTTCGTCAGAAATGAAACTAAATGGCTTGATTTGCAAGATTCCAAGTGTCCTTTATAGGCTTTGTGGCCATTTTCCCTAGGAACGCTCTTGGCTTGCTTAAGAGGGCCAGAGACCTCCATTTCCTGATTTTAGTTACTCCAAAGGCTGAGCTCTATGTCCCTCCAGGGAGGGGCTGGAATGACGACATCGAAGCGGCATCATTGCATGTCCCAACAACACAGGCATGCTGGCTATATGTGAAGCCTTCTCCCCTACTTCAGCCCACCTAGGCCTAATGTCTCTGCCCTCATGGGCAGAGAGTATATCTTTGTCTGGCCTGGCAGTCCTCCTGTCACGTGGTCTGGGTTCAGGTCATGTGTTCTCCATTCAGAGATATGTACTGCCCCTTTCCTCAACTCCAGCCTACAGTCTTACAACATCCAGAAACTGCCTTTGGGGTTAGGAGACCTGAACTGCTGATCTTCTCACAGCAGCTCAGCACTTTTGATGCCAGGAGACAGATCTCCTAGTCTCTCTGCTCAGATACTACTGCTGCTGGTTGGCCTGACTTCTGAACTTTTGAAAGAATCCAACACTACACACAGCCAAGACTACACTGAGAGCTCCCCCCACCCTCCACCCCACATCCACCCCAGCCCCTACCCCGGTTCTCATGATTTTGAGAACCAGATATTAAGTCTATCTAGTACTTATTTACCAACTGATTGGATAAACTTGATGTTAATTCCTTAATCATCCCCAAAATCCCATTGTCGGTGCCACTTTTATCTATTTTGAGATTTCTAGGGTGTGCAAAGGAGAGATATGACCACCAGGTGGCAGTAGCACCCAATGAGCTTTAAGTGGGCAGCACACTGATGATAAGGGATCAGGTAGTGCTTTGTAGATGTACCAAGCTTGAGGCTTGGTGAGCAACTTCCCAGAAGGAGAAGAGGAAAGGGATTTCCTAGGGAGAAAAGGCACCAGAATCTTCTGGTTTCAGACAATATCCCATACAATAGTCTCTGGGCCAGAGAGCTCTATAGTCCAGCAGAGAGGCACAAGACCTTTTTATAAGCCCAGGATTTGTCTTATGTTCAGTTAATAGATACTGGATATAAAGCAAGCAGATTCTAAATGGCTGAATTTGTCCTTATTCGGACTATATTTAAACTCATCACTAGGGACATGGCTCAAGTGGTAGAGCACCTGTCTAGCAAATACAAAGTTCTGAGTTCAAATCCTAGTGCTCCCCCCCCCCCCAAATCACTGAATGTATAGAAATTGAGTTTGGCTCCGGGAGGCTTTGAACTAATGAGTGTCACCTGCTGGGAGGAAATAAACGTAGGGGCCAGTGTACAAGGACCACACTGGCCTCGTGTATACAACATGACATTTACACATATCATATTGAAACATGAAAATCCTGAAAATGAATTTATAAAATGTCCTGTTCTTGGGAGAAAACAAATATGGCTACAAGGATAGGAGCAAACAGATCATCAGTGAAGAAAAGTTATATTTGCTAATTTAATATTGGATGATTAAAGACATAGTTTACATAACAAAAATTATGTCATCTAAGCAGAACTCTAGAAAAATGAACTAATCATTCTGTGTGATAACTTCAATGTTTTCAAAGGTCAGCAGTGAGCATATAAAATATGCATCTGCTTTGACCCAATCAGACCATTGCTTTCAATTTATCCTCTGAAAATAATCTGGGGGTGGGGGTGGGGGTGGGGAGAGAAGAATTGTAACAGCATTAACGGCAACAATAAAGATCTGGAAACAGCTTAGATTAGTAATGAAGGAAGATATTAAGTAAAGCATAGAATATCAGCCTGAACTATTAACATGCTGGTCATGAAGGCTCTGTAGACATATCGAAAAAGAGGCAAAATAGTCGCACAGGAAAAACAGAACATAGATTGTCATTCTGTTCATTTACAGCTATTCCTAAGGCTGTTGCATTCATTGTTTCCCTCAGAACAATCTGCAGAGGATGAAAGTAGTTTGCTTCTTTGGAAGAGTTAAACAGTATTTGAACATGCATTTTTTAGGGTAGAGTTTTTCTTTAAGGTGCTCTCAGCAACCTGAGCTTCTCCTTAGTCATGCACGGAGCTTTAGCTCCTGTCCTTCTGGTGCTGGAATGTGTGTGGCTGCTGCTGCTCTTGTGCCTGGCCAATTGGCATGCTAGCCTGGGAGGGCAAACCTGCTCTGCCTAGGAGGAGGAGGGGCGCAAAGAGTCCAGCTTACTGGGAAATCTTCCCCAGCCAGCTGTTTTATTTTTAGGCCTGTATGTACCTTGGCCAGCTGTATCATGAACAGGCATTCTTAGGTTCCAAATAATTCCTTTGGTGGTCTCTCATTTGGAGTTTAATTTGGCTTGAGAAAGACAAAAAGAGCAAGGGAAAGAGGATTTTTTTTAAATAGTTGTGTGGTGGTGTTTTTAAAAATCCCCACTTGACACTTGGGTTACAGTGGTGGGAAAAAAAAGGAATAGGGAAGGTTTGGGGGGGAGGGGAGAGATAAGACTAGTCAACGCTTTTTGTTTCGCTTGGTGCTTAACATTTTTAAGCACAGACTGTGAAGATGATTTTTACTCATTAAATCCAAAGTACATGGATTGAGGCCCGAATACATGGATGTCAGTCTTTAACTGCTCACAATGACCCGGGGAGGTAATTTCTGTTATCATCCCCATGTTATAACAGAGGCTCATACAAGTTAAGAATGTACAACCTAGGAGTGTACAGCTACTAAATGGAGGGGCTGAAATTCAAACCCAGGCAGGCTAGTTCTCCTCAAGTATTGACTATCCATTCATTTGTTCATTTTATTTATTTGTTGGTTGGCTAGTTATTTATTTTATCGATACTGGGGTTTGAACTCAGGGCCTCCTACTGGCCTGGTTTGCTCAGCTAGCACTCTACCACGTACACCACACCTTTAGCACTGCTTTGTGCTGGTTATTGTGGAGCTGGAATCTTAACAGACTTTTCTGCCCAAGCTGGCTTTGAGCCATGATCCTCTAGGTCTCAGCCTTCTGAGTAGCTAGAATAGTAGATATGAGCCACCAGTCTCCAGCTTTATTCTTAATTTGGGATTTTTGTTTTCTTGCCATCCAAAGGGTCAAACTCGGGGTCTAAGCAAGTATTGCAGGACTGAGCTACATTCCCAATGTCTTGTCTGTGTTATTAACCTTTGAGCTGGACTGGATACATATTTTCTGAAGTGCTTATAAAATCACTTACTGTAGATTAGTCTAGAGTAACCTCTGCCATCAGGTTGTTCTAGAGTAACCTCTGCCATCAGGTTGGTTTGATTGCAGCCCTGGTGCAAAGGACAGGAAATTATGTGGGAGTTGTTTTGTTTTTTTTTTCCCAATGTTCCTTCCATTCTGTTTCTATAATGGTTGACATACTCTTAGGCAGAGAGTCAGGCTCCCTTATTCTGGTGAACATCACATGTTCAAAGCCAACACTGCTGGCTGTTGGTGTGGTGGAGTATAACACACACGCTTTGAATGTTCGAAGCCAACACCAAAGAAGAAGATGAAAAAATACAGTATGAACAATAACGTAATTTTCTTCTCCTAGGCGATGCTGACAGAGATTGAGCACAAGGTGGCATCTCTGCTAGAGGCTTGCAAGGATCAGGGCCTGGGAGACAGTGGAGACACTCAACGTGAGGCCGAAGCTCTTTCCTTGAAACTCAAAACTGTGAAGTGCAATTTGGAAAAAGTGCAGATGCTGCTGCAGGAGAAGTACAGTGAGGATCAGGTAATACTGGCTGTGTGCAGACTAAGTGTTGGTGCACCACAGCCAGCCAGAAGAGGGCTCTGGGTGGGCGTGAAGAACCACCCAGAAACTCTAGTAACCAAGAAAGGATAGTGGGTCTTCACATAGACACAGAGGTTTCTTGCCTAGGTGGTTGTGGATTTGGTATGAAAGGGTTGTGTGTTCTTGTGGACACTGAGCTCTGGTGTAAGTCTTCATAAGAGAAGGCTGTATTTTAAAGACATTCTGTGGCTCTGAATGAAACATTTATAGTTTAAGATTGAAGTGTGACATCAGGAAAACAAAACCTTTTTCCAAGGCTCTTTTGTTATTTATTTACACACACACACACAGAGTATTACGTAGCTAAAGTACTTTCCCAAGTTTTAAAAGCATCTTATGTTTATCAGTATAGACCTTCTGAGTAGAAGCTTATTAAATATGATTTGCTTCCAAACTTATGAGTGGTGGCTGCTTGGGTAATCAATCACCTTCACAGAAATGACATCAGCTGCAGAAACATAGGCCTAGTCGCCATGCTCTTCCATCCCCATGTTCTCTCATTTGTAAAGCGTATGTATTAAATACTATTTATTATATACCTATATAAAGTATTGTGTGTGGTGGGATGGGGGCTTGGTTCTCTACCACTTGAGCTACAGCTCCACTTCTGGCTTTTTGATGGTTAATTGGAGATAAGAGTCACGGACTTTTCTGGGCTAGCTTTGAATCGTGATCCTGAGTAGCTGGTTTTACAGGCATAAACCACCAGTGCCTGCTTTAATAATGACTCTGTGTGTGTGTGTATGTGTGTGTGTGTGTGCGCGCGCGCACACACGCACGCATATGTGTGTGTGCACTCATGTGTGTGCATGTATATACATACATATGTGTGTGTGTGTGTGTGTGTATATATATACACACACTTTGTTCTTAGAAAAAAGAGAAAATTAGTAATTCAGTGGATGAATTTGGTTGAGGGAATAAGAGGATCCTTTCTTTAAGTGTCATGTATTTTGAAGTTGTTATGAAATGAATACATTAAATCATTGTATATAATTAAAGCAAACAAAATGCTGTTATTTGCTTTTGCATAGCTCAATTCCATTGTTAGAGGTGAGATAAGGTGCCGCTTCCTTGTTTAAAGCGCTCCAACATGAATTGTGTTTTTGCAGCACCCTAGCATGCTGAAGAAACCACCAGAACATCATGAAATCCTCCAGCCGGTTACCCTTTCTGACCCGGAGTCTCCTGGAACTGAAAAGCCACAGTTCAGCAGACAAAAAGATGTCCCACAGCAGCAGGTAATTTTGGCCTTGACAGTTGAAAGGACATGAATAAAAACATGTAGCTGGACATGCTCACTAGCAATCCTGACATTTAGGAAGCTGGAGCAGGATGCTAGTGAGTTCAAAGCCAACCTGGGCTAGCAAAACCATGTGTCCAAAACAAAAATGGAGAAGGGAGAGGAGCAGGGGAGGAGGGAGGAAGGGAAGGGGGGGGACGAGAAGAAGGGAGGAAGGAAGGCTGCCAGATGGATTTTCTTTTGTTGCTTTTGTTTTTATTTTATTATTTTTTGCACTGCTGGGCATCAAACCAAAGCCCTTGGACATGCTAGGCACATTCTGTACCACTGAGCCACAGACTTGGCCCTTAAATGTGATTTTAAGAAATAAGAGCTAAAAAAAATAAGCACACAAGAAAAGTAGTCAACCATAATTTAGGAAGTGGTTCAAAATTAGATGGTTTGCTAGGGTACCACTTGGAAAAAAAAACTGAATTGGTGAAATCATTTAAATTTTATTTACAGGTTCTGGAGCTCAAACCAATGGAACAGAAAGATTTAATCAAATTTATAGAATTTAATGCCAAGAAAATGTGTCCCCAGTATTGCCAGCAGGATGCCGACACAGCTCAGGAGTCTCCTGTGAGGTACAAATGTTTAAATAGTTGGATACTTGCTAGATTTATGGTTAAAAGAATTTAATGTATCTCTAAAAGTCATTCCTAAAACGATGTCTAAATGGAAGACAGAGTTTATTTTTGTTGTTGTTATTTAGTGTTGATTATTCCTTTCACCCTTTTTTCTTCCTCAAAAGCCACAAGGTGTCTGACCCTGGAAATGAAACTGCAGGTTCGGTCTCAACACCCGAGAACCAAAGTGGGGATAAATGGCAGTATCTTCATCACGAACTGTCCTCAAACATGAAGCTACCTCTGCCTCAGCTCGTGGGGCCTCAGGTCAGTCTGCCTCTACACACAGTCAGCAGTCTGATTGTCCTTGGAACCCACCAAGCATCCACGGAAAAACGAGTGTGCTCTCTATTAAATAGCTGTTCACTTGCAGCAAGCAAAGGATGGCTACCTAGCCAGGTACTCATAGCTCATGCCTGTAATCCTACCTACTCAGGAGGCTGAGAGCTGAGGATAAGATGTGAAGCCAGCTGGAGCAGAAAAAGTCCATAGGACTTTTATCTCCAGTTAACCATCAAAAAATTGGGAGTAGATCTGGGCAGTGGAGGCTCATGTCTGTAATCCTAGTTACTCAGGAGGCTGAGATCTGAGGATTGTGGTTCAAAGCCAGCATAAGCAAGAAAAGTCTGTGAGACTCTTATCTCCAATTAGTCACAAAAAGCTAAAAGTGGAACTGTGGCTCAAGTGGTAGAACACCAGCCTTGAGCAAAAAAGCTAAAGGATAGCACCCAGGCCCTGAATCCAAGATCCAGTACCAGCATAAAGCAAAACAATGGTGTGTCATTTACTCATGGAAAGATTCCTTAGAGTCTACCTGTGTAGCCCCGGTGTCCAGGAGCCCTGTCAGGCAGTATTCCCTCCAGGGCACAGTTTCATGGCCCCTCCAGGTTTGAAAAGGCCAGTACTGCCTTTCTCTCTGGACAGGGAGCCGGGGAGCAGAAAAGCACGGCTGCTCACAGCACCCCAGCTTCTTTGTACAGCCCTGCACACAGACTGCCTGGACAAAGGTCTCCAATAATGTCTCAGCTTTTCAATTTGACAACTCCTTCTTTCCTGCCAACCAATTTATCTGACCAAAGTTGAATCAACCTCATTGGTGGCTTTTAGTCTTGGTTTCTCCTAGTTAGTATGCAGTATAAAGCGCATATACAGCCAGGCACCAACAGCTCACACTTATAATCCTACCTACTCAGGAGGTTGACATCTGAGGATCACGGTTCAAAGCCAGCCGGGGCAGAATTATCTCCAATTAACCACCAGAAAACTGGAAGTGGCTCTGTGGCTCGAGTGGTAGAATGCTTGCCTTGAGCTGAAGAACTGAGAGAAAGCACCCAGTCCCAGAGTTCAAGCCCCATGACCAACAACAATGCAGCACATATACAAGTCTCTTTCAAAATGTCTAATGCCATTTTTCCCCCAAGCAGAGCCATCTACCATTGGTCCCTAATTTGTGTGTTTTAATAGTTCCTGTGTGTGTGTGTGTGTGTGTCTGTGTGTGTGTGTGTCTGTGTGTGTGTGTGTTTTAATAGTTCCAGTGTGTGTGTGTTTTGTGTGTTTGTACCAGTCCTAGAACTTGAAATTCAGGGCCTGGGTGCTGCACATGAGGTGTTTTTTTTTCTTTTGCTCTAGGCTAGCATTCTACCATTTAAACCACAGCTCTCTCGCTTTTGTTTGTTTTGTTTTAGGGGTTTGTTTGTTTGGTGCCTAACTGGAGATAAAAGTCTCACACACTCTCTTGCCCAGGCTGGCTTAAAACTTAGTCCCTTAGATCTCAGCCTCCTGAGTATATTTTTTTTCTTATTAAGACAAAAACACCAAAGAAATACCTCAGAAAAAATGTATGCTGTGACATTTTTATACTTCACTCTGTCACTAATGAGATTTTGGGATTTTTTTTCAAACAGGTTTCCGCTCCTATGAGTATTCTACCGAGTGTGAATGTGTATAACTTTAGATACCCAACAACCGAAGAACTAAAATCCTACACTACCCAGCTCAAAGACCTTCGCCAAGAAGCAATCAGTCTGCAGACCCTGGTACACGCTATGCATGACATACTTTCCCTCTGGCAATAATCTTAAAAACAAGGGGCATAGGCCAGCCTGACCTGAATAGGGAGATTGTATCAGAATTAAAGAAAAAGTAAGCTGGGCTCACGCCTGTAATCCTGGCTACTCAGGAGGCTGCGATCTGAGGATCATAGTTCAAAGCCAGCCCAGACAGAAAAGCCCATGAGATTCTTATCTCTAATAAACTATTTTTAAAAAGCTGGAAAGTGTCACTGTGGCTCAGAGTTATAGCACACTATCCTTGAATGAAAAAGCTTAAGTACAGTGCCCAGGCCCTGAGTTCAAGCCCTACAACGGAAAAAATAAATCTTATTTTTATTTGTGACCTATTTCACAGAAGAATTGCTCACTAATTGTAAGAGCATTAATTAATCCATTTTCTGGGGCTTACTGGTTTGAGAAAACTTATTATGAAAAAGTATAACATGGGTTGTGAATGTGGTTTAGTGGTAGAGTGCTTGCCAAGCATGCATGAAGCCCTGGGTTTGATCCCTCATTACCACATAAACAGAAAAAGTTGGAAGTGGCGCTGTGGCTCAAGTGATAGGGTGTTTGCCTTGAGCACAGAGAGGCTCAAAGACAGTGCCCAGGCCCTGAGTTCAAGCCCCAGGACTGGCAAAAACAAACTTGAACAACAACAAAAAAAAACATAACATAAATTATAAACCAAGAAAATATAGGAATAGGAAGGGACAGAGTCCAAATGGTTTTTCTTTTCTTGATTCAGGAAAATGTGTCTGAAGATGTACACATCAATTTGGATAAAAAGTTATTCGAGTTCTTTCTGGCCCTCCGTCGGTCCCTCAGTAGTGTGGAGGAGCTGCTGGCAGCTGGGCTCTTCCGGGAGGACACTTCCGGCCAGCAGGTGCACTGCGAGGTAGGGAGCTTCTAGGAGCTTCTAGCAGCTTCCGCAGCATGGCTCGGTTGGGCCAGAGCTGAAGTCTTTGGAAACAAGGGCTCAGGTCCTGTCTCCATTGCTCTCCGCTTTGCAGGAGCTGGCTCTTGAGCTGAAGAAACTTCATTTAGCTCTGGGAGACAAGAAGGATGATCTTTTGAAAGCTATGGCTTGGCCTGGCCAGGACACCAAGCTGCTCTCTGACTGTCTGGACAACCTGCACACCTACCTGGAGCACACACAGGCCACGGCAGCCTCTCGAAGCAAGACTCTGAAAGCTGGCCTCGACTATACCCACAGTTATCAGGTGAGGTTCCGAGCATGTGGCTTCTGCACAGCTCCAACTTTGCTTCCATTCAGCCCTCTTCCTGCAGGACTTCATTCATGGGAGTTGCCCTAGGCAACAATGAGACCCTCTTGTGCTCACGGTTGGAGATCATTTGAAAGTGGTCTTTGGGGTGACTTTAAAAAGGAGTTAACTTACTCTTTTTCTTTTTTTAGGGGGGGTGGGGTGGGAAGTACTGGGGTTCACACTCACAGCCTCACAGCATGCTAGGCTGGCACCATACCTCTGAGCCATGCCTCCAAGCGATAGGGTCTTACTTGCCACTGTCAGTGTACATGTGACCAGTGATCACCTACTATAGATTTCCTGCTGGGACCATAGGCTGACCCATGGTATGTAGCTTCCCTTCCATAGAGATGAGGTCTCACAGAGTTTTCTGCCCCAGCTGGCCTGGCACCATGATTCTCCTAATCTCAGCCTCACAAGTATTTTAGGATGACAGGCCTGAGCATCTACCCTGGTGGCTCTGTTTGTCTGTGTCTGTCTGTCTGTCTGTCTTGTGTCTCCCTCTCCCTCTCCTTCTCCCTCTCCCTCTCCCTCCCTCTCTCTCTCTTCTCTCTTCTCTCTTCTCTCTCTCTCTCTGATCCTAAAGTTTGAACTTAGGGCCTTCTGCTTGCTAAATGGGTGCTCTACCACTTCAACCATACCTCTAGTCCTGGGGCTTGAACTCTGGGTCTGGGTGCTGTCCCTCACCTCTTCAGCTTAAGGTGGCTAGTGCTCTACCACTTGAGCCACAGTGCCACTTCTGGCTTTGTCTGTTTACATGGTGCTGAGGAATGGAACCCAGGGCCTCATGCATGCAAGGCAAGCACTCTACCACTGAGCCACCTTCCCAGCGCTCCAGCCTTGTTTTTTGCTGGCTTTTTGGAAATGAAATATAGGGAACATTTCTTCCCAGGTTGGACTTTGACCTTGATCCTCCAGATCTCAACTTCCTGGTTGAAATGAGCTACTATCATGGAGTGTTTAATTCTCTCTCTCTCTCTCTCTCTCTCTCTCTCTCTCTCCTTCCCTTTCTCTCTCCCTCTCTCTCCTTCTCTCTCCTTCCCTCTCCTTCCCTTCTTCCCTCCCTCCCTCTTAGTCCTGTGGTGTGAACTCAGGATCTGGGCAATGTCCTTGGGCTTTTTTCTTTTCCCTTTTCACTAAAGGCTAGCATTCTACTTAAGCCACAGCTTCACTTCCAGCTTTTGGGTAATTAATTGGAGATAAGAACCTCATGGACTTTTCTGCCCATACTGGCTTTGAACTGTGATCCTCGGATCTCAGCCTCCTGAGTAGCTAGAATTAAAAGTGTGAGCTAACAGCACCTGGCAATTCTTTTCTTATGTTATTTTTACCCATGTAGTGATTATCATACTGGAAAATTTGAATTTTAGATTTCTAAGCAAGAGGAAGGTGTTTAAGCTTTAAGGAAAGGAATGAGAATCCAATATTTGTGCAGGATTGTCTGGCCTCAGTGCATTGAAGAGGGAAAGTCTTGAAGCAGGGAGGCTTCTCGGGAAGGTATCTGAATTGCCTAATGAAGGAAAGATGAAACACAATGCCATTTACGACTGAGTCTGGCCCATAACAATTAAACTAGAAACTGGACACCAGTGGCTCACACCTGTAATCCTAGCTACTCAGGAGGCTGAGGTCTGAGGATGGCAGTTCAAAGCCAGCTCAGGCAGGAAATTCCATGAGACTCTTTACTTGAATTAACTACCAAAAAAGCCAGAAGTGCATGTGTGACTCAAGTGGTAGACTGCTAACCTTGAGTGAAAAAGTTCAGGAACAGCACTCAGTTCCTGAGTTTAAGCCCTGGATCAGGAGAGAGAGAGACACACACACACACACACACACACACACACACACACGCACGCACGCACGCACGCACGCACGCACACAATTTAAGCCAGAATCCAATCAAGTTTATGAGTGAAGAAGGATGTAATAGCACCTTGGGGATGTAATCATTTCTTCACAGACACACAATTCCAAGAAACAGAAATTGAGATCCAAATGATGATAGAAGGGCCTCAATTGGATCTCAATAATAACAAATCCAAAAGATAATAAATACATAGAGGTAATTGCCAAAATGTGAACCCTCTCAGATGGTTATTCATACTAAGGATTATTAATTTGGGCAAGAGAGAATTGTAGCATTTTTTTTGGGGGGGGGGGTCTGGTCGTGGGGCCTGAACTCTGGGCCTGGGCGCTGTCCCTCAGCTCTTCAGCTCAAGGCTAGCACTCTACCACTTGAGCCACAGCACCACTTCCAGCTTTTTTTCTTTTTGCTTATGTGGTGCTGAGGAATGGAACCCAGGGCCTCATGCATGCAAGGCAAGCGCTCTACCACTGAGCCACCTTCCCAGCCCCTATTGTAGCATTCTTAAAGGGAGAAGCTCATCTTTTACTGACATGCTACTATTTACTTCAGATAATCAAAGGGGAAGAGAGGGAATTGCCAGGCAACAGAGCTAGGGAAGGGCCTAGAGGGTGGTCAGCTAGCTATGTGTCAGCCATTACTGAGGCCCAATAATTCCTCTTATTTCTATACATTTGAGAGTTTACTAATATCTTAAGACATTTTTTTAAATGAACTGCTTAAAAGGTAATGGAGAAAAAATGTAATAAAGGTCTAAGTGAGATTGCTTGGTTTCCTGCATTTATCTTTTTATACAGAATGAAATAAAACGATTATATGATCAACTCGTTAAGAATAAGATGGCTTTACAACAGTCTTTGAATGAAATGAGTGGCCAGAGCGTTGATGAACAGCTTCAGGTAATCGCTGCAAATCATTCACATTCACCTGACCTCGGGCCAGTGTGTTGTCTCAGCTGTGCTTGGTAAGGCCAGCCTAATAAGTCAATAAAATGGAAACGACTGTGGACCAATACTTTCTGAAGCAGTGTATTCTAACAGCAAGAGACAATTCTCGCCTGTCCACCTGACAAAAGATTGAGTGCATTTAGCATTGGTAAAACATTGGAACATGGGCATTGGCTTGCTCTGATCACAAATTAGATCAGGGTCAAAGGTTTGTCCTCACATCAGAATCTTTAGTGTTAAGACGTTTGATTTCATCTCTTTTTTTTAAATTTAATTTTATTTTATTTGTGAACATACTGTACAGAGGGGTTACAATTACATGGGCAGGATAATGCGTACATTTCTTACCAAGCATTGCAGCCTCCTCCTTTGGTTTACCCTTCCCATCCCTGATTTCATCTCTTGAGCAAACATTAACTGAGAACATACTATGCTCAGTTACTGTTTGGGGGGCTGGATATTTACTCTTCCTAAGGATACAATACTTTAAGAGAAATATGCCATAAGCATTTGGGTTAATAATCCAGATAGTCACTAAGTGCTTGTGTTTCTAAAGCAGGAGACAACCTTACAATAGTCTCTTAAGTATGGCCTTATAGAAATAACTAGAGCCAGGCACCAGTGGCTCATGCCTATAATTTTGCCTACTTAGGAGGTTGAGATCTGAGGATGGCAGTTCAAAGCCAGCTCAGGCAGCACTATGAGATTTTTATCTCCAATTAACCACCAGAAAAGCTGGCAGTGGATCTGTGGCTCCAAGTGGTAGAATGCCTGCCTTGAGCAAAATAAGCTAAGGGCTAGCCTTACTAGCCCTGAGTTGTTCAAGCCTCATGACTAGCATGAGCCCACACACGCACGCGTGTGCGCACGCGCACACACACACACACACACACACACACACACACAAAGTCACTAGCTATGTGTATACTGATTTGAAGAGTTGCTGACGTCTTGGAAGGGAGGGGTGCAGAAAGTTGAGTTGCAAGTCAGTGAATTGAAGCATCTCTGCATATATTCCACTAGCCTCTTCTTAGAACATGTCAGGTAGACATTGGAAGCTCTGGGCAGCTTGAAGGAGAGCTTCAGGTGAGGAATGATTAAGTAGGACTTTAGTTTTTTCTCCCCTTTATTCCCTTCTGTACTGTTTAATTCTTTTTAAACAAATGTGTGTGTTTCTCCAACTTGTTAAAGGGTTTTCTTTCCTGCCTGTCTCTCACTTAGAAAGCAGATGTGCATACAGCAGAGCTGCAGAACTCTGAGGGCCGAGTGGCCAAGCTCAGGGAGGAAGGAGAGAGGCTTCACCTCCCGCCCGCTTTACTCCAGGATGTGTACAAACTAGAGGTACGCCTATGCCATGTCTTCTGAAGCAGTGGGTGCTTGGTCCTCCACCAAGAAATTTGACACCTGTTCTTCCATTGGTTTGTTTTCCTGTTTGAATGAAAACACTTCTTTGCATCACAGGATGTATTGGACAGTATGTGGGGAAGCCTGAGAGCCAGGTACTCTGAACTCAATAGCCCATTCATCACCGAGAGCCAGCAAGAGACCTTGTTGGAAGGCATGATGGAACTGATAAACATTGGGAAGGAAAAACTTGCTCGTGGCTACTTACCACGAGCCAAAAGTAAAGTTGCTTTACAGGATCAAATAAAAAATCACAAGGTAAGATTCATCCATCGAATCCTTTCTAAAATTTTTATTTTATTTCTTTGTCTTTTATTTTGCTGGTCCTGAGGCTTGAGCTCAGGGCCTGGGCACTGTCCCTTAGCTTTTTTGTTCAAGGCTAGCAAGCACTCTACCACTTGAACCACACCTCCACTTCTGACTTTTTTTCCTACTTGGGCTGGCTTCACACTATTGTTAGAAATAGCTCTGGATTAGAAATAGCTCAGGATGTTGAGTCTGGTAGGAATAAAGACACCAACTCAAAATGAATTTGGCAAGGCAAAGTTTACTTCTGCAGAAGGGTGCACCATCCCAAAATCTGTCAAGCAAGCACACAGAACAGGCAGGCTGCCCCCTTTTCTCCCTCACCCAGCAGGCCCTGCCCCTCTGCTCACATTGGCTGAGCTCAGTTTGACAAGCTGAAGAAGGATATGGTTTAATTAACAGGATGTATTTAAAATTCAAGGCACTTCTAATAGGGTGTCTTAATTACAATGCCCAGGAAAAGAATGCATATAAATAAACATAACTAACAAGGGCCAAGCCACCTTCAGAAAAACAGTTCTCTCAAGATTAACCAAAAGGGAGCAAACTACTTTCATAGAAAAGACATTTTTTTCAAACTACGATCCTCAGATCTCAGCCTCCTGAGTAGCTAGGAGTGCAGGCATGAGCCACTGGTGCTCAGCCAAATCCTTCTTTATAAACTAAAATCTCTGGGGTTTTCTGAGTTCAAATGGAAGCTGTCCATTGTTTTCCACGGTGAAGCATGTGGAGTGTTGCTTTGTGGAAATATTATTTAATGTGATATTTCTTTGTAACTTGTTAAAATTTCATTTATTTTTAACAAATCCATTTCCATTTTATTTTCATCTCTTTGTATGTTTGGTGCCACACTGACTTTCCAGGATTTGAGATAAAAAACAAAAATAAAGGGATAACAGTTAAAGTAGCTAGGCACCTGTGGCTTATGCCTGTAATTCCAGCTATACCAGGGGCTGAGATCTGAAAGACTGTAACATGAGATTGGCCATCCCCAAAAAAGTTCAAGAGACCCCATCTCAACAGAAAAGGATCCAAACTATAGTAGGAAGTTTAAATAGGAAGATTGTGGTGTAGACCACCCCAATCAAAAGGTGAGACCTTATCTCAAAAATAACCAGAGCAAAAATGGCTGGAGGCAAAGCATAAGCAGTAGAGACATGCCTACCTAGCAAGCAGGCAGCCTGAGTTCAAATCACTTGTTTTTAGCCAGGTTCCAGTGACTCATACCTGTAGTCCAGTGTTACTCAGGAAGCTGAGATCTGAGGATCTGTAAAACCAGCTCAGGCAGGAAAATGTGATACTCTTATTTCCAATTAATCATAGAAAAATCAAAAAGTGGTGCTGTGACTCAAGTGGTAGAGGGCTAGCCTTGAGCAAAAGTTGCTCAGGGACATTGCCCAGACCCTGAGTTCAAGCCCCAGGACTGGCAAAAACAAACACAAAAAAAACACAAATCCCATGCTTTTTATAGTCTTCACAACTTAAAAATAAATGATAAATATTCAAAACCTTTTCTTTCCACATTGTAGGAGTTTTTCCAGAGCCTTGTTGCCCATATGTTGTTGATCCAAACATACTCCGCCAGGACGTTTTCTTCCTCCGTACAAAAGAGAGAAGCCTTCGGCGCGGCACAGGTCGCGGCGGTGAAGAGCCTGGAGGCTGAGGCCCACCAGTGTGGTGCAAAGCTGCAGAGTCTGTTGCAGGTACGTGGCTTCTGTGGGCCTGGTTCTTAGCTCTAAGGGAATTCCAGATCCCCATCCATCAGCTCCAGCTGTGGGGAACACGTGTCCAGCCAGCAAGCCACAATGAAATGGGAACGAGGCAGCACAGCCTGTGGAAGCCAGCCTAGGCCTGCGAGGCTGCTGTTGTCCAATAAAAGCCAAGTGGTGAACATTTCATGTATAAATTTGGGATGGCATGGCTTTGCTCTGGCCTTGTAGGTTTATGTAAGAATGCCCAGGGTTCAGTGTGCATTGATACTAGGAATGAGTTGACTTGATTTAAAAACTGGACTCCTTAAAGACTTCAGGCTTAGGGCTGGGAAGGCGGCTCAGTGGTAGAGCGCTTGCCTTGCATGCATGAGGCCCTGGGTTCGATTCCTCAGCACCACATAAGAAAAAAGAAAAAAGCCGGAAGTGGCACTGTGGCTCAAGTGGTAGAGTGCTTGCCTTGAGCTGAAGAGCTGAGGGACACCCAGGCCCAAAGTTCAGGCCCCACGACCGGACCCAAAAAAAAAGACTTCAGGCTTACCTAAGGTTCTCTTGTAAAAATGCATTTATGATAATCTTGTCTTAATTCAAAGCAATTTTTGTTTTTGTTATTCATGGGGCTTGAACCCAGGGGTTTGGAGCTGTCCCTGAGCTTTTTTGCTCAATCCTAGTGTTCTACCACTTGAGCCACACAGCTTTACTTGTAACATTTTGGTGGTTAGATGGAGATAAGAGTCTCATGGACTATTCTGCCTGGGCTGGCTTTGAACTACCATCCTTAGATCTCAGCTTCCAAGGTAGTTAGAATTCCAGGCATGAGCCACCAGTGGCCAGCCAAAGCAAATTTTAAAAACATACATTTAAAAACATACATATTCCTTTTCAGTTGAAGGTTTTGCCTATAGCTTACGAAACCCTCCACAGCCAATGTTAGCAGATAAAAGGGAATTTTTAAAAAAAGAAGTCAATAATTTGTTAATGAAATATTATTTTGTAAGAAATATTTATTTTTTAGATACCATGTTAATTGATATTAATATAATCACTATTTCATGGTAATCAAAAAAGGCTGGGCACTGGTGGCTCATGCCTGTAATCCTAGCTACTCAGGAGGCTGAGATCTGAGGATTATAGTTTTAAACCAGCCTGGGCAAGAAAGTCTGTGAAACTCTTATCTCCAATTAACTACCAGAAAACCAAAAGTGATGCTGTGGCTCAAAGTGGTAACCTTAAGCAAAAAAACTCAGCGATAATTCCTAGGCCCTGAGTTCAAGTACCACAACTAACAAAAAAAAAGAAAAAAAAAGACTTCATGGGCCCAGTAAGTACCCATGAGAATTCATAAGGTTATTATCACTTTCCTAACTGATCATTTTAAGCTAAGCATGGTGGCTCGTACCTATCACCTGTAGTTGCAGCTACTTGGGAGACAGAGATCAGGAGGCTCATGACTCAAGGCCAGTTCAGGCAAAAAGTTAGTGACATCTGGTCACAATCATTAAGCTGGGCTTGGTGGCATATACCTATGATCCCAGCTACATGAGAAGCCTAGGAAGATAAGAGGATTTCACTCTATGGCTGGTCCCCAGGAGGGAACCACAAGACTTTCTGAAAAAATGAAATACAAAAGGGCTGTGATATGGATCAACAGGTTAAGTACCTGCCTAAGAAAGGATGAGACCCTGAGTTTAAAAGAGAGAGAGAGAGAGAGAGAAAGAGAGAGAGAGAATTTTTAGTGTTAATAACTGAACTCTGTAGTGTCCATGTACTGTGGAACTGGGGGAAGGGCTGGGAGAAGGCCAAACTAAGTGTAAGCAGTGATACTCCCCAAGGAAGCATAACCCCCTGTCCTCTAAACAGCCTTCAGAGGACTCTGGCTTCAAGTAGCAAGCAGGAATAATGTTCAGTGGATTTGGTATTAGAGCAGGAAACCCACGGGCAGCATGATAGCAACTTATGTTGGAAACGATTTTAAAAGTTAGCTCTTTGCCATTCCAGGAGGAGTGTCCTTTTAACTGAATGCTTCCACTAATCACATTGCTCAGCTTGACAATGCCAGCATAAAACACAGATGCCAGGATGGGGGTGAGCCCTGTGGTAGATCACTTGCCTTGCATGTGCCAGGCCCTGGGTCCATGAGCACCCCTGTAAACAAACAACCCAAAAGCTAGACACACCGGGTGCCGCCTGCTCACACCTGTGAGCCTAGCGACTCACAAAGTTGAGAGCTGAAGATCATAGCTTGACGCCATCCTGCCAGAAAAGTCTGTGAGACTCACATATATATATATAATTTTATTGTATAAAAATAGGAAGAGGCACATAAGCATTGCACCATTGCACCTTTGTGTTTCTCTCCTAAGAGTTATGACACTCTTATCTCAACCATCAAAATAACAGAAATGGAGCTATGTACAGCTCCAGTGAAAAAGTTAAGGGACAGTGCCCAGGCCCTGAGTTTAAGCCCTAGTACTGCCCATCCCCCTCCCTAAATGATGAAGATGCCAACTGCCAGTTCTGGGGCACTTGAATTCAGGGTCTGGGCACTGTCCCTGAGCTTCTTTTGCTCAGGGCTAGCACTCTACCACTTGAGCCATAGCACCACTTCCAGCCTTTTCTGTGTATGTGATATTGAGGAATCAGCCCAGGGCTTCATGTATGCTAGGTAAGCAGTCTACCTCTGAGTCACCTTCCCAGCCCCCAGTTGGACTTTTAAAAACTTCAAAACAAGAATCTTTCTAGAAAAGGTGCACATTCTTCAGTTCCTCCTGGAATCTGCACTTTTCATTTTGTATGATCTTGGCGTTTCTTTCTGTCCTTATAGTAAACGGTCATTGCCTAGGGCCAACCTAGAAAATTAAAGCCCACTGACATAAATGTTGTTGATTCTCCAGAAATGGGAAGAATTTGATGAAAACTATGCTGCTCTTGAGAAGGACCTGGAAATTCTTGTGTCCACGTTGCCCTCTGTGAGTTTGGTGGAAGAGACAGAGGAGAGACTGGTGGAAAGGATTTCATTTTACCAGGTAGGTATTTTATTTGCTTGCTCATTTAAGTTCTCAGTGGTCTGATTCATACACTTTTGGGCCGTGTTGGAGCTAAATGGCTTGATTTTGAGGCAGAATAATCTAGAGGGAAGCGAAATATTGTTCACCACACCAGTCAGCTCAGACACACATTGTGGGACTGTACATTTGTGACGCAATTGTGAGCAATTCTGCGTAGGCACATGTCTGGCTTGGGGGTGGAAGAGCTTACTGCTTCATTTATCTTTTTGTGGCCTTCCTGCCTCTAAGCAGGTTTCTTTCTCTATTGTAGAGAACAGACCATCAGTCTTGTTTTACTACCTCTGGAGCTGGGTGTCATTTCTCACTTCCATGAAATAAAAGGGGAGAAGTTAGTAAACTATGGGCCTCAACATATATTTACTTTTATTACACAGTGCAGTCTTAATTGGACATACTTGGAGATTAATAAAGGCTGTTAACCAGCAGTAAAAAAAAAAAAAAAGACTTGTGTGGGTGCCTACTTGTAATACAAGCACCAGAGAGGCTAAGGCAGAAAGATTATGAATTCAAGGTTGTACTGGGTTATGTTGCAAGAACCTGCCTTAAAAAAAAAACAACAGCTTAAAACTTTTATACTTCTCTAGTGTCATTTTTAGTCTTACTGGTATAGGAGCCTCTGTGTTCCCAATGTTAATGGTATAGTAAAACATAAAACCTTGATGGGGGTTTTGAGTGACATGAAGAACATGACAAAGTTCTGAATCTTTACAACTGATACAATTGAAACTTAGTTTTTACTTTATAATATCTTTAATCAGAATATAAGTTTTACAGCTAGAGGTATCAATTTTTTTGGGGTGTGTGTGTGTGTGTGCGCGCATGCTATTCCTGGGGCTTGAACTTAGGGCCTGGGAGCTGTCTTTGACCACTTTTGTTCAAGGCTAGTGATCTACTACTTCAACCAGCTCTACTTCCAGCTTTTTGTTTGTTAATTGGAAATAAGAGTTTCACAAACTTTCCTAGCTGGGTGGCTTTGAACCATGATCCTTAGATCTCAACCTCATGAATAGCTAGGATTACAGGCATGAGCCACTGATACCTGACTAATCGCAACTTTAAAACTACAAAAGCAGGTTTATTGTGAAAATGAGAGCCATAATGACATGGCAGGCCCCTCTGCTCATTGAGACATGTCAGTGTCTACACAGAACATTGTGCTAGAAGTGGAGCTCAGTGGTTGAGCACTGGCCTACCACTTCCCAGAACCCCTCTCACCACCAGAATAATTCCCAGTGGTTGGAGCACTGCATCTCTACTCACTGGAGACCCAGATACCCAGGATTGGTAAATGTGGGTCCTGAGGACGAGGGTATCATCTTAGGGTGCCGGATAGGTGATAGAATCTACCTGAGTAGTTAGTTGGCAGAGAAATGCCATATGCCACAGGGAAGACAGCACTGTAGGCTATCTCAGTCATCATGGCTGTCTTCCTGCATCTGAGTAGCTAGAAGAAATGAAAGCAGATCATATTTAATACCACATTAAATGGAGAAACAATCTAGTATTTACCAATCTAATATGAGCCTGATTATTAGTAAGTAAGTAAATAAATAAATAAATAAAATGGCTCTCAGCCAGTGCCAGTGGCTTACACCTGTAGTCCTAGCTACTCAGGAGGCTGAGATCTGAGGATCACTGCTTGAAGCCAGTCCAGTCAGGAAAGTCTGTGAGACTCTCATCTCTAAATAATCACCAAAAGCCAGACGTAGAGTGTAGCTTAAGCAGTAGCGGGCTAGCCCTGAGCAAAAGAAAACTCAGATCTAAATCTGCAAACTTCTAGTTTCTTGCTTATTTGCACCACGTCTGACTCTGTTGCCTGGATCTGACAGTCTCTAGAAAAGTAATCTGAGCACCATTGAATCATATCATCCAGCAGGAATATAAACTTAAGTGTTGGGAAAGTGTCCATCTCTTTAGTAGCCTATCATGCAGAATTTTATTTATTTATTTATTTACTCTGGGCCTGGGCGCTGTCCCTCAGCTCTTCAGCTCAAGGCTAGCACTCTACCACTTGATACACAGCGCCACTTCGGCTTTTTTTCTTTTTGCTTATGTGGTGCTGAGGAATTGAACCCAGGGCCTCATGCATGCAAGGCAAGCGCTCTACCACTGAGCCTCCTTCCCAGCCCTCATGAAGAATTTTATTGTTTTTTTTTTTTGTCGGTCGTGGGGCTTGAACTCTGGGCCTGGGCGCTGTCCCTCAGCTCTTCAGCTCAAGGCGAGCACTCTACCACTTGAGCTA